CGCCGCGTTGCCGCCGCGACAGGATGTGGGCTAACGACCGAGGACGCAGGCACAGTGGAGCGGCAACATCAGGGGATGCCTATCCCGCCAAAAGGCGGGAGGAGGAAACCCGAGAAAGTCACCGAGGTGGCAGTCTACGGGGTCGAAGGGTAGCCGACTATCTCTAGCAATTTGCCGGCTAACTCGGGTACGGGGGAGCGTCAAACCCCAGATCCACAGACAGATCCCCTGCGTTAACCTATTGATCATTAAAAAGTGACTTGATGGGCGTGCCCTTCTCCTGGAGATCACTCATGAATTTCGGATTGAGTTGTTTGAAAGGCAAGTTTGTCAGTTTTGATCTTCTTCGTTTACAAATAAAACAAGTCGCTCATTAAATGGTATCGGATAAAAAATAGCGTCGATCTACGAAAATAACTTCTACACTGTAAAAAGTCGTTAGTGTGATGCCTAAAAAATAATTTAGAGACATTGAATTTGACTGTTTATCCAACACAGCAAAAAGTCTCTTTCTAGTGCATTTACCATCCGACGCTATCTTGTTTTCTTCTTTTTTTTTAATGTGTGGCAAAGGTTGGAACGAGATGAGGTAAAATTGACCGGCCAGCTAAATGATATCTAGCAGATGCCGAATGGTTGTACTGAAGTGCAATGCTCAAGTTACCTAAGGCAGAGCTTTTTCTAATATTAATGGACGAAGTCGAAATTAACGGATTTCTATTGAAGCAATTGAAAATCTTCGTCCTTTTTTACTATTTGTAAAAGACACTGACCAAAATGTCACCTTGATTTTTTTTCTGTGAATATTTTTGAATGAATGAAAATCTGAAAAAAAACTCTGGGTACTTACATTTTAAATCATAAAACATGAGAGGAATTAGCATCGTCGCGCGATATCGAGAATAAGCAATTTTCGACTTCAGCCCAATTTACCTATCTGTCTATCTATTTGCCAATTATTTCAGAAGTTACTTGGAGAAGCTAGGCATATTTTTGAAGACTCTGAAAATGAGTGCGACCGTGGCCAAGGCAATCATGAAAATCATCTCAACCTATTTGCATACGGCTCGAGTAAACTGGCCACAAGCGAAGGTATGTAATTCTAGAGTATACATGGTGACTGTTGTCATCTTAATTATTATACTACAGAAAAATTTGCCAGCCTCTGATCNAAAAAAAAAAAAAAAAAAAAAAAAAAAAAAAAAAAAAAAAAAAAAATCAGATAAGATTGCAATGCATTGCAATAAAAATACAAAGAAGAAAATGAAAATGCATTTTAGAATATTTTGCTATAGAGAAGAGAAATCGAGAAAGTTTTCAAGAAATTACGTAAAATGGTCTTTAATTTAAAAAATAAATTATGACAGGAATTCTGAGACGTCGCAAACGGGATATGTGGTTCCTTACTTTGACCATCGATTTGCAATAGAAAGAAAAACTGAAACTTGTTTGAATTTTGTTGCAAAAAGTCTCACTAAAAGGAGCGCCTTCCATTAGTGGATAGGCAACATGCGAAGCGCTTCGACGAAGTAGCGATTCACCCTGTAAATGCAATTTATTGCAGCCTGTGCTACTTGGATGAAGCCCCTCCGCTCCTATTTGTGAACTGAAGTAAACGAGGTAAATGGCGAGGGAGTTCAAGGCATATTACGAATTTTTAAATTCTCAGCTTCTGAAATGAGTTCGGAACAAGGTTTAATTAGATTTTTCAGCCGAGAATTTTACCTTTACTGTGTGTATCATTACTTCTCCCTCAATGATGCAAAGTTCCTTCAGATCGGGTTGATTACGTTGCAGTCCTTACACAGCCCAAATGAAGCCCCACACTAATGGACGAATTAGAAGTCGGTGCAGATTCGCCCTATAAGTACATACATATGCATACAGGCTGTTCCATGGGGTTAAATGGCAGTACTATAAGAGCGTGGTCTATGAGGTAAAATAAGGCATTTTTCTGCTTTAAATTTTTCTAAAAAAAAAACCCTGAAGGAGCTACGCCCCCCCCCCCCCCCCCCCNGACAATTACTTGATCGAACAGTTGAACGATAACAGATGTAACGATGAAATAGCAAAATTCGTTAGTAAAAAAGGGGTTGGTAAATAAGAAATCGGTAAGAGCGTAAAAATTGACATCATTCCAGACAAATATTAGTGAGTTCAGGGAGTTCAGAGTTGTGCTCCCTGATGTTTCGAAGAAAATGATACTTCTACCAATTTCGACAACTTTACCTTAAAAATGTACACAATGAGCAACATGTAATTTTTAAAGGAAAATAAACCTGTCACCGGTGCAGCTTTGCCACATACAGAACTATAAGAAAAAAGATCAAACATTTTCCAAGTTTTCTCATGCCTGGCTTCGAAGGGAAAAGTATATGGATTGCATTTTGCAAAAAGGAACCACTAGCATTGCAATTAATGATGCTAAGATTGTTGCGGAAATCGTGAAAAACTATGAAATTTAGATGGTAATTTTTGTCTTAAATTAACAGTTTTTAGCGAGTAAAATAGAAACTATTAATGGATAATCGGGTTTTCCTCCAAGACAAAAGAAGTTGCACCATCTTAGCAACATTGCAATGCTAGTGGTTCCTTTTTGCAAAATGCAATCCATATAATCCTGTTAGCTGGGAAACCTAAAGAATTAGGTACCGGGTACGTACCGATTTTCATCGATTTCAGGTTCCTCATCCTCGTCGATCGTGCTTCTTGGGGACATATTCAACGTTCGGGACGTGGTACCGGACCACGACAAATTCAACGACAAAATCAGCTGGGTGCATTTAGTGAGCGACAACTACAAGATGGACCTCATCCTGACCGCAAAAGACCGGCCCTTTTCCATCCTTCCCTTGGACAGATTCGCGGTCACCTTCCGTGAAGACTCGAAATTCATTCGAGGCTCCAAGTTGCCTTTCCGACCGGGTAGTTTCGATGCCGTCATGAACGGCACGCTGTATAAAACGCTTGTGTCCGATAACTCGATCCACCCGACCAAATCTGTCGATATTCTCTACATCTCATTTGGTGACTCTTTCCTCAAACTCCGAGCCGCCTCCGGTGAGTTTAGATACTTTAAAAATTGTAAACAACTGTTTATTTTGTTCCAGAAGCTAGCTTTCAAATAAACAACTGATCTCTCTGAATTGTTCTTTTTTTTTCATTTCGTAGCAATTTTAAATGTATTTAGTGCAATCCGTTGGTTTCCGGGTAGCGCAGCGGGCCGATTATTGAGATTGATAGACAATTGCTACAGACAAAGACGACAAAAGGGGTTTGGAGGGATCCTCTTAATTACTTACTACAATTACCTGGAGAAACTATTGATACTGTATCGGCGTGTTGAATATGTTGCCTATGCATTAATTGAATCCTCTCATGGAATATTAATTGCAATTTAAAATTGAAGTACCTAAGTTCCAATTTTTCTGTACATTGCAAAGTGTCTACCTATCTTTCTGTGAGACATGCCAAATGATGTAATATTATTGCAATTTTACCGCATTAAATTGCACTTTATTGCAAAACTTTATTCCACGGCGCTTCTTGAGGTGCGCTGGTTACAAATTATTACTTTGAAAGTTAATATGGGTACCAGGGCCTGATTTAGGGGGTGGCCACATGGACCGCGGTCCATGTCGGCAAATTTTGCAATTATTTTAGATGTAAAAAAGAAATTACAAAAGAGAAAAGACGACAAAATATTTCATTTCCGGTGAGAATAGTAATTTCTAATTTTATCGTTTTGCGGTGATACAAGAGACAGCACCTATATTTAGTCGAGTTATGAGAGATATCAAACACGCAATTTGGCCTGGATCGACGCGGCGCAGAGAGCAATGATGATTGATGACGTGGACTTGAGATGAAAAGGAGAAGCCCTCGGCGCGGCGGTCGGCATGTAAGTTGTAACACGTATTAGCGCCTAAAAGACTGCATGAATACTTCACGCATTGCGTCAAACACAGTGCGTTCAGCAGCGGTCGGCGTGAAACGCATAGCGCCTACAAGACTGCATAAATACTTCACGCATTGCGCCAAACATAGTGCGATCATCGCGGCGCGGTAGTGGGAGTTAAAATTATAAAACCACATTTATGTTTGTTCTTTCATAATTTTTTCGTTATAATTTCTCAGAAATCGAAGGCCTTGACCACACAGCAGGTTTACGGAACTTAACTTGCGCGAACAAGTTCCGTGAATTTTTGCTAGTAGTGTTGACAGGGCTTTCGAAAAAATGTGCCCAACACTAATAAACGCGTCTTATGCACCCAGGCGGCCCATGGGCGGTAAGCAGGTAAATCCGGCCCTGGATGAGCACAAAATATGAGGCCCTTCAAGACGCCAAATTTTCACGTCTGATATTGGACACAGCAGGGCATCCCTAACTACGTAAAAGAATATTTATGGTGGCAATTTCATCAGATAGAATGATACTTTCCGAAATTTCCGAAACCGAATAACACTTATTCTGCCGTGCTAAGGAAAAACGCCGTATGAGCCATCAGACGTTGCCAACTTTCCTCCGATAAAAACCGAATTTACTGAGAAGATTCTGAATATTATTTTCCAACATTTTCAGACAATTTTGTTCGCGATTTAATCTAAAATATATGAAAATTTGGAGGAAAAATATACATACATTTCGTCAATAATACATGTTTTATCTGGGGAAATTTGGCAACTCTCGAATGTTCATACGGCGTTCTCCCTTAGCACAGCAGTATTAGGGACGTGCTCCTTCCGGAGTTTGCCCTTGAAATTTCACGAAACTTTTAACCGGAAATTTTGAAAAGTTTTTTGAAATTTTGAACTTAAATTTTGCACTTCAAACTATTGAAATTTCATAGGAAAATTTCATAAAATTTCCCGTGAAATTTTATCCTTGTTTCAAATTCTTATTTTTCATGAAATTTTCCCTCTCAGGCTCCTCCTAAAAACAAAATGCGTTTTAAAATCCGGGTCTGTTACTTGGGAGAAACGAGTAGAGTTTTAAAATTCTGAAAGGCACTCGGAGCCTAAAAAGTCGTAAAACGATCTTGCATTTCGTCTTTATTTGGAGGCAGTTTTGCGGGCCTTAAAACTCTTACAAGGTTCTACCTAGAGACATCGCACCGTGGTTTTTTTTTTTAATTTCGCTTTCCTGACCAATTGATAGGTGATCCACTCAAGTTTCTCATCATAGCCGATAGCTTCTTGAACATTTTTTAAAAAGACAACGGTTTCAACTATTACATTGGGATTCGTTGCTAACTTAACAATCCCTCCACAAAAATTGCGATAACAAAGTTTCTTCAAATCACATAACCAAATCCGCTTATTTACTCAACGTAAATATTTTCCATTTGTTTTGCATCTAAAAGAGGGATACAAATATTTTATAGGTGTCCGCATGCAGGTAGTGTCCTCTGAGTCCAAAAATGACCCTAATTTCGTCTCATCACATTGGTATTTTCTGGAAATTCAAATTTTTAGAAAAACAAGTTTTTTCTGGGAAAACCCCTTTGAGAAATGGAAGTTCTATTAGAGCCTCTAAACGTTAGCAAATTACAAATTTGTGCTGCAGCCTTTGATTTCACACAGATTGGAAGTCAAGAAATATTCAGGGTGCTTTTTGATGCTGAAATATATTGGATCAATTTTTTTGTTGCACCACTGTGTTCTTGGAAAAATGTTATGTATGTTAAGTTGGTTGTATTATAAAACTGAGAAATGAGAAGTAAGCAAGGTATCCATTATAATTCAAGCCTTTGAGGAGATATGCCATTTCCTTAATCTATCTCCCAACGTTATTGATAATGCATTGATGCAAAACATAGAATGAGGGAAAGGAGTGAAAAAGAAGTGATTTGAAGTCATTGATGCTATTTAGAATTTTATTTCGCAATAATTATTCATAATATTAATCTTCAATTCTTGTTTATCACATTGTTTCAAAACTAAAGTTAAGGTTTCAAATTTAACAGGAGAAAAAAAAAGAAAGAAAAAAAAACTTGGAACTAACCCATTTCCAAGGAATTACTCTTTTAAAACGTGCACTTTGAAACCAACAACAGAAAACATTGATTCGAATGATGCGTTCAACTGAGCTAATTTTTAAAGAATAAAAACTAAATTTGGAAGCAAATGTTTTCGGATCTTAAGAGAAGAGTCATAGATAGTAAAGATACAAAATGTCTTGCGATACGAAGTAGAAAGGAAACACTTCACTAAAACGAGGCACTGGAGAGAGAAATACATCTAATGCCTCTAACCGATAGAGAAATTTCCTTTATTCACCTCTTCATTCAAAACAAGAAAACTTGAAGACAATTCTCACTTACATGATCACTATAAAAAATACTCAACAACAGCTGTATGTTAAAATTTTCCTGAGTCAATCATTTTGAATGAGAAAAATACAATTTGACAAATTAGATGCGGTTGGGCAGAAAAATCATTTCAGCAGCAGTAACTTGAATTGCAAAAAGGGATGCTTGTCTGATTCCATTCTTCAACTTCAGGGGAAGAGAGGACAGAAACTATGAAATTTTGAAATTTTCCTGAATACATCTGCGAGAGGAAAATTTATGTACATGCCAAATTTTAAGTGCCTCTGAAAACTGGAGCATTTGGGGGTTTTCTATTTCTTGTACTTGTTTTTTTCTTCCAGAGAGAGCAACAGGATATTTGAATGATATAGATAAAATTAGGCTGTCGAGGACTGGTGTATGCCATAATCAAAAAGAAGAGTAGTGACATTTTAAAACTTCAGCAGAAAAAAATGCAGACAAGGGATATATAAAATTAAAAGTCATAGAATTTTATTTCAGAAAAGCACCCCTTCATTGTTTTAATACATTCGTTTTTTTGGAGCTTAGAAACAAATACCGATGGGGGTTCTGATGATCAGAAGAATCTTTTATCTGTTAGAGAAAGTAGGATATTGGTAAACAAAAGCCATTAACCAATAAATAAGGGCACCCATTCAGTGTATTCAGTTTTTGAGGATCAAAAACAACTGTGTATTTATCTTCCAAAAATACACAAAAATCACATCTCATGCCGCAGACTTGACGTTTGGGGGCCCCTTGATAACTGAGGGTAAAAATTTAACCAGCAAAAAACAAGAAACTTGATCATCAAAAAAAAAAAAATTAACAACTCTCTGATCTAAATGCAAAAAAAAGGAGAAAGAGCTGAGCATTCAGACTTTCAGCCTTCTTTCTAGCCTACAAGCACCAAATCAAGAAAATCAATATTTGAGAATTGACATGTTCAGAAACTTTTCCTTCGAGTCACATCAGAACAGAACGGTTGAGGAATAGCTGATAAGAGAGAATACTTAAAAGAGTTTAGATATCTGACGCTTAGAAAACTGCAAGCAGAAAAAAATAACTTACAATGACGCTATTCTCGTTTAAAATATACAAATTTCACTTTAATTGACTCGACAGATAACACCCTAGATGAAATAAAACAAACAACTTTCTGCTAAAAGTAATTTGGCCTCAAACAGTAGGTACAGACTGAAATTGTTGATCTCTTGACTGAGCCAAACGTTAAACCTAAATAAAAGGAAGAAATAAAATGATTGCTTGTACTACATTTAAAAGTATTACATATGCTTAAAAATAGGTACACAATTCCCTCAATATCAACGATTGAATATTTAGGAGGCAACTTAGTTTGATACCTGATGATTAATATTTTCAAAGAGAGGGCACAAGATACAAAAAATTAGATTCTAGAAACAGATTACATGGATACAGCATAAGATGCGTAAATAGAGGTATTTGATGGTAAAATTACTACTGGGAATATTTAGCCTCTTGAGGTGGCTCTACAGAGAAAAGAAAAGAAAATACCATTACTCTGATCATCAACTTTTTAACATCAATGCTCTGATTGGATAAGACACTGACATCCTCAAATTATTTTACAAGACAACACCCTCTGATTCTAAGGTATTCGAAATCAAAACATTCTTTGATTTAAGCACTTATTCTGTTCATTGCACACCAAAATCAGCATTTTTAATGATAAGTCAAAAAATAAAAATGATCATAAAAATAATGATCCAACAGTTCAGTGGTAAAAAATAGATACCTACAAGACAACTAAAACAAATTTCCAATAAAAATTCCTTGTCAACTTACACCGAAGATGACTAGCAGTCATGTTTAGTACGTGTAAAATTATGTTTTCATGTATTTTTAAAATAAAGGAAACTAACTCCTCAGACAAATTGACTGATCAAGAAAAAGTAGGTGATAAAATAATGGAAAATCAAGGGAACGCCTTGATTGAAACTAGCGGCCATTGAAAGCAGTGGAAAATTGTTGAAAAAGAGACAGAAGAATGATCACCTTCAGATAATTTAGAAAATGAGGTGACTTTAAAGATAACAGACTGCAGAAAGCAAATTGCATGGAATTGTTTGACATTTCGCTTGTAACAAACTTTCTACACCATTTGACATGAATCAAGTCATCTTAAGTTAAAATTAAAAACTACCACCTAGTTGTGTCTGAAACCTCAGGATCGTTGAAAGTAGAGGCCATCTAACTTTTCAATTCCTCTAATTACGCAGCTTATGACATATTGGTGAAGCAGGAGCATTATCACGGAATAAACTGATCAACTGGACAGAAAATCTAAAAAGCCCTCCCATGTTCCAATCTATTTCAAGTATTATCAGTATCCAAACAAAACAGATATATTACAAGGATGCCACTAGCAGCAGCTTAACTACTAGAGGTGAAGATCATTGACAATTTGACAATCTTTCCAGAAAGACCATAAACCGATCGTTTCTGAAAGATCATTGACAATCACTTCTGAAACAAGCAACAGGCAAAGGTACATATGTGAAAGGAAATAAACCGATAACAAATTGAATGATGATTGAAACTACAGACATAGCCTGGAAAAACAGGGAGAAAAAAAATTCTATGGAAAGATTATTGATGTCATCAAATAAATCACTGACCAACGGGAAATGAGAATTTCTGCCTCGGGTTACGTTGCAAAACCATTTCGATTCAGACTTGTCAGTTTGGGCTAGGTACAGTCATAAAATACCTATAGCTCCGCAGGTTCCATGAAAAATACAAATTAAGAAGAACGATGCTCTCTTTAAAAAAATAGTGATTTAAAAACGATAGTCATCATAAAAGAAAGTTGTTTAACGATTAAAAAGGGAGAGAAAAAAATTCAAAGTATAGAGACTAGAGGAAAAATAAATACAAGCAATAATTCATTCATGTATGGATCAAAAACAGGGGGGCAGTCAGGGTGCATTTTCCCTAAAGCTCTGAATTAAGGGAAGAACTTGCCGGAGCAAACAGATAAGAAAGAGCATGTGTGCCTTTTGACCTCATTTCAGCCTTAGAATAGTTTTGAAACTTCTCCTTAAGATGCAAAATCACCTCCTACACGAAATCATACTCGAACACGTTCACAGCATGCCCATTATGTAATTTAACCAGGCATTGATCCATTTCATGGGAGCCAACTGGTAAGAACGACCAGCGATCACTTGATTGAATTCTTTAAGTCAACAAATCTTCACATGATTTGGACTAACTGGTAGTACAATAGAATATCTTTGAGAGGGCATCAGCACAGTTACTCCATCCACTTCCGTGAATTTAGTGGCCTGAGTGAAAATTGGTGCCGGATTACTGTGACAGCAAACAAGTTCAACACGTTTTGCCTAAGGCATTGAATCTCAAAACCATTCTTCCTAAGGGGGTTAAGGGTACGGTTTAAGAAGGACTCATCAATTTTGCTGCAAATAAGATTCTACAAGCACTGAATTCTGGATTTATCTGTCCTTGAAGTGTGAAAACAAATCTGTGATAGTGCATCTCTATTCAAAAAATGTTGAACTCTGATGAATTCTGGATGATATAAAATCAGACTTCAATTTAACTCCATAGAGACTAATTATTACTGAGAGCTTTGTCACTACTTGTATTACTGAGGGGCTTTACTTATACAATGTTATCATACCTAGCGTAGCTTTTTAAACTCCAAAATTTAGTAGAGACAACTGTCATGTAGACAACATGGTATTTCAAAATTTCCTATCAAAACCATAATACGCTCACTTAGATTTGATAAAAAAAAAAGGTAACTAGAGAGAGATTGAAATCAATGATGAATTTGACTTAAAAGTCGCCACACCATTTTTTCTGGAGCTAAAATGAGCTAAAAATGCAGCTGCTGAAAAACTAAGTTCAAATCTTTACTAATCATTTTGGCTACGCTAGCGCCACCTCTCAGTTATTTTCATGATAAATACTTTGTAATTATTTCTGTAAGAGACCCACGAACAGCTACTGCAACTATTGCTTAGGAACTCTATATCGCTGCTAGACGATACAAGTATGGACTCGGCAGAAAACTCAGTATTGTCTGAGCTGCAGAGCAATTAAGAATTATTTTTTATTGGGTCTGAAGACTTTTCCAGAAATTCTGAATTAAAAGTCTTGAAATAACACAGCTTCTCAGACACGGAAAACGAAGACCCGCATCTAGTGTTGGAGAGTTGAAATCAATCATTGATAGTGAATAGAACACCTCAACCAAAAAATATATATAAAACAAATCTAACAACTTAGTTTCTACAGAATAAATCAACAAATTAGACCAAAACTATTCTTGACGAAGTAACAAAAACTACTTACAATTTCATCTATTCTTTGCATCATTACTTGCAAACGCACTACTGAGCTTTCTCTTCACTTTTATATTTCGATTCACACTCGAGCTACCAGAATTGCTTTCGATATATAAGATAGTGTTGTTGTTGTCACTCTCACTGTTACTGCTGCTCACAATGTTACTGGTAAGGACGCTACTTTGAGTGAATGGTTTCCACTTATTCTTAACATAGTCTGCTTCTTTGTCAGTGAAGTTTTTCCACTTGTTTGGACTTGAGGAAGATTTGACTTTACTATTACGAACTATACGCGGTTTGAAAGCGACTTTGGGGTGGTTTGTGAAGTCCTCTTCCCCTGAGAGACTTGCCTTCCGCTTTCGCTTAATACCCACCGAGTCGATCCTATCTGATGCAACTTCTGTATAATGTATCCCTGCACCAGCCAGATTCAGCAAGGCGTCAGCCCCTTCCGCAATTTTCCTCTGTTCCTCAGCATCTTCGAGTCTTTTTGCAGTTGCAAATTTCTGTTCCAACGCTGAGCCACTGAAAATTGAAACAAAAAAGACCTCCTTTAAAATAATACTAGATGAAATGGCTGGTGGATGGATTGAAATATAGCTGAGATTCAATGATTATGTTTACAACTTTTCATGATTTGCTCGTTTTAAGAAATAATGGGTTTGCTGCACGCAGGAGAAACAACCAACTAAAATCGCTTTCTCAGGCTAAATTTGTTCAAAAATCACCTTTGTCACATCATAAAAGTCTAAAATCCACTCCTCAGTACGGAATCTGCAGGGTTTTTGACACTCTTTTTCAGATTTACCGCTTTTGCGGGCAGTTTTTCTTGGTGGCCAGCAGTCAGGTTTGCCTGGAAGAGGACCTAATCTAAATAACCAACTTCGGTTCAGGTGTGTAATCATAGTTTTTCTTAGCCACAGCAAAACTTGTAATCTGTGCGGATGTCTCTGATTGAATCAAAGTGGGGTTTCCACGCCTGAATTTTTCAGCTACCTGGATCGAAAACTTTAGTTCCACATGATCCAAAGTTCAGTCTTCGTAACCGAAATTTTCCACAAATTCCTCACACATACAACATCTCTATTGCAAGACAGCGATTTGAATTGTTGGTGAGGATATTTCTCAAGGACACAAAAGATGGTGGCAGAGACGAAAAATTTACCTATGGTCTGAGTCAGTTCCATCTGCAAATGCTTCATCAGATGAGGTTGGTTCACTTCTTCCTATTCCATCACTTATCTGGTCCACGATATAGTTATGATCAGCACTTGGACAGGAAGTTACAATGGGCGGCCTTTCACCTTTAGTACATATAAAAAAAATACTCACAGATTAGATTTTGTGAACGAGCATACTCATACACACTTCAACCCTATTTTACAGCGCTCTGTGGCGCTCTGCGACACCTAACCACCACAGACCCCTATCCACCCAAGGCCCTTCTAGGAGATGGCACTGCCTTGTCTAACTTTGTGTCCTCACCCTTTGTCTTCCATACCCTAGGTCTTCTCCTAAAAGGAACCTGATCAGGCATTTATTTGGGCAACCTTTCATTTACTATCCTGCTCACATGACCATATAGAATGAATGTTTGGTAACAACGTCCAACAGGCTGTCATTTTAACTGCCATGATCTGACGCACTTTATTACTACAGACCAGATTTCTTCTAGAAATTCCGGCTACCTTTGTCCAGAAATCTATTACCGTTACACTTAGATAATCCTGTGTCCGTTTTCTCAGCTGCTACACTTCACATCTTTATATTAAAAAACTTTTCACTGCAGCGATGTGAATTCTCATATTGTTCTTATTTCAGTGTACTTATGACTATGAAAAAAATTACAACAAATGAGGGTAGGTAGAAAGTTTAAAACAATGGTGCATTTTTAAAACAAAATTCTGCTACTGCTATAAGTTACCCTGCATTATTTACAGACTTTTATTTCGTTTGCCATTAAAAAGGGAGCGGAGGTCTTGGAAACGCTGTAAACGCAGCAACTACATACATACTGAAAAGAGATGTTCGATTTGCTCACTTCAGTGACAAATGCTCAGCACTATGATTGCTTACCTGATGATTTCAAAAGGATGTTGTGCTTGAGTGTGATCATCGCCGTTGCTGCATCAACATCATCTATGCAATCATTTTCTTCTTGTTTCACAGATGAGCTTCCAGAACTGGTGTCATGAAGAGGTCTAAACATTTCAGGCATAAAGAACTATATAAGTACTAACAAGTAATTAGAGGTACAACTGGTATAAGGAATTTGGATTGTGCACAAAATATTTAATGATGCGCAGATTCCTTGACTACCCGCCCTCTTTTCATTCTTTGAAAGGGAAACAAATATATCACCTTGAGTTCTACTAGGAATTTATTTCAATACATGAAAAAAGTTCACAAAAAAATTTCGAGAGGAATTGTTCGGTTCAAGTTTAAAAAATAAAACATGAGCAAAGATTTGCAATGTTGCATACAGAGATAGGCATATTGAGGGCTAACAAACCATACTGCCTCACCGACAATTTGGGCAAAAAAGAGAAGGCAACTTAGCTGGATTCTATACTAGCCATGATTAGCTCGCTATGCGAGCTCTCATGCCTAGCCGGGGAGTGCTCCTGGACCCCCTGTTTCTCCCTCCATGAGCTGCCCCTCATAGCTTTTGACTTTAAAAATAATAATAATGAGAAGACAATATCTTCGCCACTTTGGCCATGGCCACCATCTTGGATTTTGGAATTTTGAAAATCTGACCAAAAATTTGAGTTTCCCGTCGAAAGGTACCTCCTGCCAACAATTTTCACAAAAATCCGTCGACAAATACCCCCTGAAACCTGACATTTTGTCTAAAATGCTGTGATGTCACACGACAGGATTGAACCTGTTCCGCGCGGTGCGCATAAACAACCTTGTATCCCCAATGCATTAGTATAGGGAGAAACAACTTTTCTTCCTTGAAGGCTCCAGCAGCATTTTTTTCTAAATTTGATTTTTCAGATATGTAAAGGTGGTTCTTAGCTTCATTCTTGCCAAGTTTGAAGTAAATCGCTTTGACAGTTTTTTGTACAGTTTTGATGAAATTTTGGTGACTTAGCTTTATATATTTAATTATAAAATTCACAAGCTGATTATTTTAGTTTTTTTCTAATTCTGTAGGGGAGCGCTTCAATAATGCTGCAATGTATGAAAAAAATTGCGAACCTATACATTACAAAAATGGCATAGTTTTCTCTTCGTTCTGCAAAATCGTCAGTTTACAGATAGGCGGTATTGTTCATTAGCCATCGGTATCTTGACTACATCCTCAATTTACAATAATGTTTTGGATTTCAGTACTTGTAAGTGAAGAAAAGGGAATTCATTGACTTGATTGACAACTGACATCATTGACTAACAACTGGAGAAATGCTATTAAAATTTGAAGTTAAAAAAAGAGGAAGACTTGAAATGTTGTTCAAAGAGACTAATTTCAACTTGCCTGTTCTGTTTAACATTCCATGTCTTGTAAGGGTTATTAGGAGTTTTTGTGATTGCTTGAACCAAATTCGGTCTGTAATTAGGGTCAACCATCCACAATGAGCCTTTCCCTAGATTCTAAAAAATAGGAAAGAAAAAACAACTTATTAATGATTTCCTGGTATAGTAAAGTAAGTATAAAAAACGAGTATCAAATCTACAAGGGTCATTGGTAAAAAAAAGTGTATATTTGTATTATGTACCTCAAAAACGAATGAAGATAATAGAAAAAGGTAAAAACTGTCTTATCCACCAAATTTTTAAGCTTCCAAAAACGCCCTTGTTTTCTAAATTTGGTCTAATGGTTTGCAAGTGATGTCATATTTTCTATATTCAACTCTTGCCAATGCGTATCTAAAAACTCATGCCCAGTAGAACTTGTCAGACAAGCATACTTTATCACCTTAAGGTCATGACACAAGCTGAAACATAGCTATGGGCAAAGGTTCCCGACAAAATAATAAGCGAGACTTCCTTTCATAGATGAGGTTTCAATTTGCATGTTATGAAACTACGAAATTATCAAATTCAGATACAATGAGCTGGAACTTATTACATTCGAAGAGGAATGAATTATTTTACCAAGGCTGTGAGTAGATTTGGTAACTACTTCATTCTAAAATTATGTTTGATGGTCGAAATTCAATTGTATGACCCCAATTTTACCATTTTATTATTAAGGGAGCAAAATTAGAAAAAGTCCATCATAATATGTAGAATTTGGGAAAAAAAATTACGATTTTCCTTTAATTGAAAGCATTCATAAATCAAATGATGTGAAAAAATAGGGCTGAGCAAAAAAGTTGGAAGGAGTTGCAGACTGCAAATCAAAGTATGCTGACAATACCAAAAGAAGCAAAAGAGAAAACTTACGGGAGCTTTTTCCACTTTGGTGAAGCACTTGTTTAGGGAAAGATTATGACGGACGCTGTTCTTCCATCCAGTAGGCGCATTCCTGTAGAATGGGAAGTGTTCTAGGATCCAGTTGTAAATTTCTTTCACAGGCAACGCTTTCATCGAGGAGTCATCAATTGCCATGAAGATGAGGCAAGAAAATGAATAGGGAGGTTTTGATGTGACATGGATCTGTTAGAATTGAAATTGAAGAATTAAAATTAAACGATAACTTTAACGAGTTACTGCTGCAAAATCCTGCAAATAAGAGGCCTGAAAAATGTAATGCCAATTTTGGACTTTTTCAACACCTCCAATTCTTTTTTTCTTTTTTTGAGATAATATAGCCAAGGCATTGTTAATGTTTTATTCAATTACTTACATTGTGTGTGAAAGCTTTTCAGGGCATGGTGCCCTATCATCAGCGCTTATTATAAACAAACATGGATTAGTATTCTTCTGTGACACTCGACAGAATGAAAACTCCCTGAAAAATTACATCATGCTGCTGACCCAGATCCCCCTCCCTCCTCAATTACAACACTTAAAAAAATCATTATTAAGAGGGTAGGGGTGCTGAAAGTTGTAAGTCTTCTCTCAAATTTAGTTAACCTTTCCCAAAGTCGCCGGAGAAAATGAAATTCTCTCCTTGACCAGTTTCATTGAAGATCTCTGACATTTGTGGAGATGCAGGACGTTTAAAAAGACATACTTTGAGATAGTATTCACACAACATTCATTCTTCAAAACATAAAATGCATTCTGGAGGACAAGTAAAGTGATTTCACAGGTTTTTTTTTAACCTTTCATCACTGTATTCAACCTTTTGTGGTTTTCCTGACTTCTAAAAATTCCCTGAAAATCCTAACATTGCCTAATTTCCTCTAACCATGGCAACCATACTTTCTCATTTTTTTTTCTATCAAATGTCATTCTCAGTTGCCCTACAGACTGAAGAAAAGGAAAGGAAGAAAAAATAATATTTTTATCCAAAAAGTTGAACTTTACCAAACCTAAGACACCTCATGGCAAACAGTGAAACCAGAGCCAATGATCTAGCACCTCGGTGTTTCTCACAAAACTTCATGGTAGATTAGATCATTAGATTGAGAACCTTGCTACATGCAAGAGCTTCATTCTGCCACAATAAAAAGCAGTAGGAACATTCATGCGATGTCTGAGTCGACTTTTTCTTAAAAGTAAAATTGGATTTTATGACGGATATGGAATGTAAGGACATTTTTCCCCTTGAAGTTTATCAAACATCACTAAATTTTGCCTAAAATTGAATAGAAACAAAATACCTTGGGATCATAGGGTATGTGATGGGGGTGTTTTTTGGGAGTTCCTACAGCAGACATAGGGGTGGGGCTTGAAGAATTCACACTAGAACAAGTCGAATCGCTCGCTGAATCGTCTACAAAATCACTAGTCGGTGATTCTTGGGTATCGCTAGGAACATTTGTTCCAGGTGTCTTGCTGACTGCTCCCGCAGAAGCTGAGGCGTTTGGACGCAGTTTAATCCCTAGAATTGGAGAAAAGAATAGAATTAGGAAATAGAAAACATCGCTTTTTAAAATAAAGAACAAGTGATTTTGCGGAGTAAAAAAAAAAAATTAACATCCTCACATTATCACTGAAAATCGAATTAGAATTAGCAAAATATATTTTTAGAATTTTACAACTCACATGGTAAGAGCACGAATGAGAGTTTATGACCAAATGCAGTTCCAGCTAAGAGGCTAGAGCTCAACAATAATGATAGTCTTATAGTCCAATTCCGTTTGATGTCTATTATTTGTAACTATTATTTCTAACGTCTGGAGAAAAGACATATTCAGAACTTGTAATTACTTTCTGAAGGAGGAAGGTTGACAGAAGAGTTGAGCTCAATACACACGAGACAGGAAGACTTTTAAAGGGGGCAAATTGTTCAATTTTGGACAATTGGGTTGTCATTATGATAAAATGTAAAAGTTGGAGTAAAAATAATGAATAAGAAACATAAGGGAAAAAAATACAAACCTTTCAACAAGTTTTTATCTTGAAGCCAAGATAAAGAAGTTAAATCATCGTCTGATTTCCCAGGCTTGTTTTTAGAGTTATCTGTTGATTCCTGTTTCAAACAACCGGTTTGCGTAAAATCAACCTCAGCAGCAGTCGCTTCGACTTCGATTTCAAACTCTTCCTGCAACACAAGGTAAAAAAAAATTAATTTTTCTTTCATCAAACTCTTCAAATTAGAACACTTATTTTGGTCCATAGGAGATAAAAATTTAGAAAAGAGCAGATTTTCATCAGCACTGAAGGATATGACAAAGGTCAAAGGAACTAATGCATGTACTCATGCAATGGATAATATTATGCTCTGTCTTTTCAAAGGACGATATCTCTTGTGATATTCGGCATTTTGACAATCTTGATGCTAATTTTTAATTTTAAATTTTTTTGATAATGTACCGGATTGTAACATCAAAATATGATTTTGTAACATTTATGGGTGACTACAGTATGAGTGTTGAATATTTGTATTTGTTAACTAGACAAGAATGAGGAGGAATAAAGTTATGCCATTGGTTTATTTTTTTCCGTCATCTTCTTTGTCTTCAAGACTTCTTCTTTGTCCTCAATCTTGTCTTGTGCAGTTGACAAACACAATTTTACAATAATCAGGCAGCAATTTGCATTCATTCATAGTGTGATATACCTTGGGGTACAAGGTTACAAACCCAAAAATTCAGTAAATAATCACCAAATAGCAGACGATTGACAGGTGGTTCTGACATTTTAGGTAGTTATTCTCAAAAACATTGATGTGCTCAATTTAAAAAAAAAAAAAGAAAGAAAGAAAAAAAAAAAAACTTAAAACGAATACACAAATTAACACTATCTACATGCATTTAATCTACAAATGTACAAGTAGAGGAGTAAGGAGGGTGGAAAATGAGGGCCATTTTAGCTTGTGACTAGGATATGAACATATTATCATCAAAATAGTAAACCTGAGGTAAACGTCTGAAGTAGTGGTGAAGAATCAATTTAGACTTGAAGCTTAATTTTTTCTTCAAAATGCAGCAAGGAAAGTGTGCAGTGTAGTAGCATGGGAATTAACTACTTACCAATGCTTTCATTTGAAATGAACATCACTTACTTGACTAAAAATGAGGAATGTCTCTCATTTGATAAAAAATGCGAACACTTAAAAGTCACATATGATTATTGTGAAAAAGTCGGGCAAAAGTAGACTTAAGGAGGAGGGCCAAATATGCGGTTCAGTGTGGCATAAAAATCAGATTAGGGTAAAAAAAAAAAACAATTCCTCTCTTAGATGCCAGGCACTTTTTAATACTCTCAGGAACAGAGGATCAAAATTTTAGATCATAATCTGCTGTTTTAATAATGTTACAGGCATTAGAGATGCATTTTTTCTGAGGGAGGCAACAGAGCCAGAATTTGGAAAACTACATATCAAGTCAAATGGTGCAGGTCCTGCAAATCCTGCACTACAGGAACTATGATTTTGTTGTCCAGGGCAGTCAATATGCTGCCTTAGATTCCGAAAGTAATGACCTCTGAAGCCTTGAAAAGCAAAAAATAAGTGAATAAAGATCATGATAACTGATTCCCTTCCCAATGTTTCAAAAAACAATGCAAAGGCAGTTCTTCAATTTGAAAATGCGAAAAACTAATGAAGCAACCAACACGAAGTCCTTGACTTTGTAGACAAGCAAATAAGTTATTATGTATTACACAAAAATTTAAAAAATTAAATTCTCTTCATGGTTTTTACCTTGATATTGAACTTATTGGGCGCAGTTAAAAAATGAGCACTGAGGGCACCATTCTGAACCATCGCAACTGCATGTTCAACTTCAGACACCAGCGGCTTTTCTGGTGCCATTTATATAACCTGCATCAAGAAGAAAAGATTTTGATTTGAAAATAGTAAAAACAATTACTTCGCATGCTATACCCATCTTAAGATCTGACAGAAGCTCTTCAGAAGTGACACAAGTCCTCCAGTGCCTAAATGACCTTTCGGACCAAATAATGAATGCTCTTCTCGACCCCCCCCCCNCCCCCAAAGCAATAGGTATTTACTATCACTTTACACTCCCTTACAGAGAGGGTAAAAATATTTTAGTTTCAAAAACAAATGCGCAGGGTGGAATCCAGTAACTTGGCTCTTCTTAATTATGTTAGGGCAATTCCTTCTAATACTATTCTGAAAGTATGGTACTTTTGTTTAGTCATCTGTAAAGATAAAAACCAATAATAATTCAATGTAGACCTGACTAAGTGGTTTCCTTGAGATTTCTCTTGCACCTTACCTATTCAAAGGCTACTAAGTTGCTTCCAGAAACTTTTGAGTTCATGCAGATCAGACAATCGAAAGTTTTTTTTTTTTTTTTTTTTCATGTTAGGATAGATAGATGGATAATTCAAAAGGAGGTTTCAAAGGAAGTATCGATTGAAATAGTCGTTGAGAAAGTTCATACCACAGACACATAGACATGTATACGAGTCAAGCAATAAGAAGGGTTTTTGGAATGTTAAAAAAAATCATAGCCTGTTGAAAAGTCACACAGCAATTATTGCATTCAATCTGTAACCAGCGGTGCTTCAAATTACTTGAAAACAGAATTTCATATTTCTTAGATGTTTCGTGATATGTTCAGGGAGGCTAGAGAATATGCAAATCTGCATGTAATTAGAAAGTGAGCATTCAGTAAAACTTATTTGATAAAATGTCAAAACAAGATCTCTCCTTCATAGATTTCAAGATAGTTTTAACTATGGACTCCACATCCATGAAGATAGGCACCTTCGCTTGAATGCACAAGTAAGAGCCTAAGATATGCTCTGAGAGATTGACTAATTAGCCAGAGTTACTTTCTACTAGAATGAAGGGAAGGAATAAAACAGTCATTTCATGGAGGAGGGGCTCAGAATTTTTGGAAACTAAATAATCGAGACATCATAAAACAAACTAATTGGAGAATGCAGAATATTTTATATAATGTCAGGATCACCAAAAGCAGAATAACTTTGGAAGATGCCTCGCAACTAATATGGGTACCTGGCTCTCATTCCTGAGAAAAACACAAATGCCTACTTAACTTGTTGGTTCTAAAGCACCAAATGCAGGCCCCTAACCACATGTTACAAGAAAAGGATTGAAAATTAGCATGGATTAATGAAATTTTTAAAGACAGAAAACTCCCAGCCTCATACACGGAAGATTCTTTCGATTTGTTCCACCATAAACAACTCCCATTAAAGATGATGAGTCCTTGAAACATATTTTACAACAGGATTGAAAACTAGGACAAACACCTAAACACAAAATTATCCACTGAAACGTATTGGAAAGGTGGATTTGTGGGAAAAGGAGATCAAACAGATACAACAAAATCAATCATGAATTATTACAATGTAGAAGAGGGGCTGATGGCTTAACGTGTGTTATGAAACTGACTGGATGGTTAGGGTTGAAAGAATTATTCACCTTCATCAATAATACTTAAAGTGGATACAAGAAGGGAGAAAAACTAAAGTCACATGAAAACACTGGGCAAACTGATCATGTGCATGATGTGTAAAACTTCCGTAAAAGTGCAAACTTAAGCAAAAAAGATGATGCTACAACAGCACATCATTGAGGTTCTAGTATTGCGAAACAAGTTCTGTGCAGTCACACAGTATTACGAGACATTTAGTTACAGAGCTTTTGAGTGGTTACAAGTTCCGGAGAGAAAACAAAATTGAAGAAGCAAAGAGTCACAAAATGCGAAAACACAGTTATTTACCTGAACTTTCACTGAACTTTAAACTGATAAGCATTTCAGAGAATCAAACTGCAGTGATCCACATCTATGAAGATCTAATGAAGGAGCGGAAAAGATTATGTATAAGTACAAGATGAAAGAGCTGAACTAAGAATGTTTGTAAAATCAAGTAAGTGTGTTAGTCCCGAATTAGCTTGAAGCTGTAGAGAGCATCTTAATTTGGTACATGGATGGTGACATACCAGGACCTTAAAACTAGCTCACAGTCAACCAACTGAGTTGGATTGAACAGCCTTTAGAGCATTTACAAAATGTTTCGAAGTTTATTTGGATCGCGTGATAAAACAATTAACCGAAGTAAGAACCCGGGTCGGGGGAAAAAACATAAATGGTCCCTAACAAATTAGGTCAAGAATCAGCCATTTATGACGCGTCTTCATTAAGATAACAGTTTTACGTGAGTCGTCAGCCTAACTCAAAACAAAACAAACTTCACTCGACGACATAAACAACTGAAAATTATCGGGTAATGTGTCAGGGATTCGTTAAATCGTGATAAAAACACACTCACCTTACACACCATTAATATATTACGAATAACGCGTTATGACTCTCAAAATTTGGCGTATCAAAACACATGTACGGAAGTTCCAAATAAAATAAACAATGTTCGCTTGCAATGTCGCAGGTGTAGTCCGCCGCCGCCGCTTGGCTTGGTCCACTGACGCGTAGAATTTGCCTACCTCTCTAATTCTCGGTTAAATGATGGAATTAATATGAAAAACCTCTAAAAAATAGCTTATTTAAATAAGTGTTCATGCTTTGCAGAATTCAGGATTACTCCTTCAAAATTATTGCTTTTTCACAACAATTATTCTAACCACGAGGGCTTGCAGGGAAATTTTTCATTTCAAGGGACTTTGGAGTACAAATATGGTCACACTGTTTTTGTTTCACCTTGGCTGGTGGTGACGTGCATGTTGCCTAGCAAAACTTTGTCGGGCGAACAGTTCGAAGTTGTGAGCTGTGGGCTATGGCTTATGGATATGGATGACTTGGTATGATATCATGAGCACTTCAAGTTCTTTATGGCCAAAGTGTTTCAAAATGGGTACATGCAAACAAATTCTCGATGAAGAAATATTTGTGACGAATTCCAAATTTAGTCGTCAACATACCTGACACATGGGCACATTGGGAAATGAGCCTGAGCATGAAGTTGCAGGAGTCATTAGGGTCAAAAACTCACTGATTATACCTACTCAGGTACTTTTTGAGTTTATGTCAAAAGATACTATGGGAAGCTTTGAACGCATCAAAAAGGTTTGTTCAGTTTATGTACTTATTATTTCAAAATTCCGGCCTTCCCCTAAATAGCGTAAAAATTAATGTAGGTATATTTTATTCTTCTTTCAGTAACAGCGAACTGTAAAGGCTTAGAAAAGCATTATTTTACTTCATCAAATTTTTTTCCTACCTATTCTTTTTCTCCTTATTTTTATGAATCTTCAAAATCAAAATAATATTGTTGATATTGAGCCAGAAAAATGTATTTTAAAAAATCTCATGAGCGTCCTCTGTTGACGAAAATGGGCCTTTGAGTCCATTGAAGAGCTTAGAAGTGGCCACAATGCCACAAAATTTTTTTGTGGTTTGCGGTGGTTGTGGTGGTGACGAGGGGTGGAGCGGGGACACTAGGAACTAGCTATACTAGGTTTATTGGTATTGGGTAAAATAATTGAGTTCGTGGTTAAACTTTTCCAGGACGGGCTATGCTGAGCCGTGGCACCATCCGTTCCCCTTGCATAATTTGGAGACTTGGGAAGTGATTTATTTTTCGGAGAATGAATATAAATATATCACGATCATAGACGAAATTATGAGGGACGTGGTATTGAAACTTAATATGGAACGACATTATTGTTCTTATTTTTTTTCTCCCATACCTATACCTCTCCTTATAACAGGAAAAAGCGAACCCCTGAGTTCCGAAAAGTTTTCGTTGTTTTGTAGCCAGGACTTACAAATGAACCGCGATCAAGTCTTGCCTTCACTTACGGCCAATGGCATAATTGGGGAGGGAGGTGTCCCGTGGTCTAAACCCACCGATGGATTAAAACAATTTTCCTGAAACTCGTCATTTTTTCCTAAGCGTGACTCCCCGGAATTTTTTTGCCCCAAGGAGTGGACCCCCCCCCCCCCCCCCCCCCCCCCGTGAACACTCTCAAAATATCACGGTTTTGCGCGTAATAATTGTGGAAGGTTGCTCATGTGACACAGCGCAGGCATAAAAGACGGAAGTAAATTAGGAATTGATTCCTTAGATACTTAATTCATTAAGGGACTCAAAAAAAAAGTAAAAACTGGGGTCCCGAAACCGGAAATTCCAGAAGAGGAGGAGGAAATTCGAGCCACATCGAGCACGCCCAAGTGGAATTGCCAACTCATACCAAAAAAACCCTCACACATGCGAAGTATCATAATATCACATGCAAGGCTGTTATGCTTATTTATTTAATTTCCGATTTTATTTTGTCTGCAGAAGTGAACTGCAATCAGAAATTTCAAGAACTCTGTTTTCTTAAATCATTTAAAACTTGAATAACTCAATGATAAGATGAGTTCAAATGCAATCATTATGAGACATAAAATGGGATTTTTTTTATTCTAAAATTTGGTACCACTGCTGTTATCACCTGAACAAATATTGTCACGTGACTAAATAGTAAACACCGCTTGGACGTGATACTGATAACGAATTAACGAGTGTGCGGTGCACGTGGTAATTTATGATTTACGGATTTTGGATTTTGTAAATAGTTTTTCCTCTCGTGCGCTCCTCTGATTTTGCACAAAAGTTCTTTTCCACCGTAGAAAATTCATGGTAATATCTCTTTTCATGATTTCACTTTCTTCTAGGCATGCTTGACTACATTCCTCACTGAACGAATATCACTAAGAAGGACTTGAGGCAAATGTCAGACTTTGCTGTTGTGCAAATTTTATAAGTTTGACAGAGTGGATTTAACCAAATGGCACTAAGTACTTCACAGTTATTTTGGCACTTGTGGAGAATGTGCAAATTATGATGGAGGATTCTGTGAGGCTCGCCAAAATATGGCCCAAGTTCTTTAGGGTTATATCTACCTTACTACCTAAATTTGAAACGCAAAAAATTGCAGGATTTCTACTGTTACTGAAATGAATAAACTTAACTCTTGAACTTTGGAAAATCCTGAAAGAGAGATCTTCCATACCCCTGACCATGGCACCAAGCAGAGCGCTAGTCGTAATCCCTACTTCAGGCCCATCTCCGATAAGTTACGTCTATTGTTTGAGTAACAATGGGAACATGTCGTATGAAAACTATTTCTGAGGCCTCGTCAACATGAGCATGATACGAGGAAATATGGGCAAACTCGTTCCAGGAACTTGTTACAACTTCCCTGTAACTTGCCCCTGAAACACCCAGTTTGTGAAGCTAATAGGTACATCCAAAGTGTGCTCGTGCCATTGATGTTTAATACAATCTAGACCGCGCACTTGGCCCAACTTTAGGCGGGGGAGGTAAGACAGCTAGCGGGGTAAATCAGGGTAAAGATGCGCCTTCAGCCTAGTTGATACCGCCGGATATACGAGCTAAGTGTACGTCCGTATCAGGCAACGGCACTGGCAAGACTGGCATTTCCACGAATTCCACCATTGTCTCAGTACATATCGCCGGTACACTTGCTGGGTGTTGCTGGGTTGCCTATCATCTCGCTTGAAGGGAGCCTAGTCTCGCCGAAATTTCCTAATGTGCGGTCTAGATTGTATTATACGTCAATGGCTTGGGCGGACAAGGCCTTATATTATCTACTTTTTGATGATGAAGAAGCAACCAATGAAAAAGCAGCTATGATAAGTGGGGTTAGGAACCCTGTATTAATTTCTGGAACCTCAAAGCTGGTTATTGATTATTACACATTGAAAAGTACGGACGGTTTGCAGGGCTGGGCTATAAATGTTTTCAATTTCATAAATCCTGCCCGCTGAAAGTAACACGCAAACATAGTAGAAATGTTCTGCACCACGGAGGAATATTGCAGTTGTCATGCTGAATGAAATACTTACCTGTGAACACAGTCTCCCACAAAAGTTCTGTATGAATAGTTAAGAACCCGTTTCTTTATGTGAGCTAGCTATCTTCAATTTTTCATTTTTCATGCTGTTTCAGATTCAACCTATAAAGATTATAATATCTTAAGGAAAATCACTTTTCAATTTTTCTCCGGAGTTTCTCTAAATTTTTTGAGAGAAAAAAATTGGTAACAATGGAACAGGTGATAGATTTACTACAAACCAGTTTGGAGTCATCTCAAGAAGATTTCCAGCAGATTCTGTCCTCTTTTACGGAGCACAAAGTTTTTTTACGCAAGGTAAACATGCTAACAATAAGTTTCCTTCTCTTACGCTTTCAACCACCACTTTTAGCGAAAGTTTTCTCAAGTTCTCAGCCAAAGCAGCCTCAGGCCAACTGTTATTTTTTTTAATTTTAAGGATGGTCACATTTTATTGATAGCGTCCTCCTAGATAATGTTACTTCGGTCCATCAATGATGAAACTACTTAATAATGAATCTAGATTTTAGTGTTCGAAAATTTTTGATCACATTTGATTTTTTCTTATAAATACTGTTTAAAATATTTCCACAAAATGCTCTGAAAATATTCTTAAAAAGACAATGGAACATTAAAAAAAATGTTGTGGAAAAACAATGATATAAGTCAAATATGTGAAGATCGCAACTCAGGTACTTTATCAAAACTGAAAAATACTTCTCAGTTCATTACTTAGTCGGGTCGAATTCAGAAGCCTTTGCAGGCTTCATGGAAGGTTACCTACCGAGGTAATTTAGTGGAGCAAGTAAATTAAGACATTGACGTTTTTGAATGCATGAATCCTACTTCCAGCTTGAGCTGGCAGTAGGATTCATGCATTCACCATACAAAGTGAGTTAAATTGCATGCTAAACGTGTCATGAGCGTCATTGCGGTAAAAAAAAAATATTACAACCTCAATCTCTGCGCTTTGCTTTATATCACACTTTGATTAACACCCGGTAGGAAAGGAATGCTGCTTGATTGAGAAACCCGCCGAAACCAGCCGAAACCATTGTGGTGTGCAATTTGAGTCAAGTAGACTCAGGTATTTCTTATTGGCAGAAAATTCAAAGTTTTTGTAACGAATGCCAAATTGATGCATTAATATCTTGTGGAAGAGTCATTTTCAGTAACTTTTCTTACTGGAATCGCACTTTATGTGAAATTTTGCAGAGGGAACACATATCAGCCTAAATTCATATCTTATTTACCTAGTTGTCCATTGTTTCTGTTGATGAATTCTAGTGTACTTTTGACTTTGATTGCTTAATATTTTTCAGGGTTTCAAAGTGGATTCTGTTGTGAGTCAAATAAATGCTTTATTGAACTCTGATGATAACCGTGCCAAGGGTGTTTTACTTCTCCATGCCTTTTTGCCACAGTGCAGTTCTTCAGTTGTAGCAACTCATGGATTTTTCTGGATGCAGCAATGTCTTAAATCAGCTGAACAAGATGCTGCAATACTCATTCTTGAACTTCAAACCCTAGGTAAAATTGTCCTCAAACCTTTCTTGCACAAATTGACACTCCTGTAATACTTCTTTTTTCCTTTTATTTATCATTGATGGTAGGCTAAACTGCATTATGGGAGTTTTGAAACAATAGCCTAACATGGTTCACCGGTAATTGTTTCTGTGTCCAGTTATTTTCTATGGATCTTCTTTCTTTCCTGTTCCTCCCAAAGGAAACACCAAGCTCAATTCCATTTTTTAAAGATCTGAGCATTGTTTTTGTATTATTGACTTGGTGCGGGTGGGTGCTCAAAATTATCACAACCATCAGCAGACTCCTCTAATGGCAGAATTATTATGTTTTAGGTCATCTTTTTACATTGTCAGCTGAATCTATTGACCTGAGAAAAAATGTTGTCAACACTCTGTTACCGAAGTTCTTTGATAAATTAGACGGAAAAGGTTCAAAAGAGGTAAATATTTGATGTGATATTTCTTTCATTTATTTTTTGTAGAGCACGGAAACAGATGGCTGAAAGGATTGCTGAATCTATTTTGAGCTTCCAGATACTTAGTTAACCCTATGGTTGGATTTGAGTAAAGTTGTTACAATAGTCGATTCACTAAATACTTTTACCCCTTTTTTCTCTCAATTTTTAAAATGTAGCTCCTTGAGATGAGATATTTTCTGCTTTTTATCTTAAAAAATTCAATTTTAAGAAATTTTCAGAAATCAGTTTATTTTTTTGACAGTTCATGAATAATATGCAAAATAAACCACGGAGAAAAAGTAAAGCTAGTTGACCTGAGAACCACTCCTAACTCAATATTCTCGAAAGTGTGGTTTTGCTCTGATTAACTGGCAATCTGCCAAAAATTTATGTGATTACCAAATAGCATAAAAATTGAAGAAGATTCAACAGGATGATATAATGTTTTAAAAAATGTGAGTTTTAATTGAGAAATCCCCACAAAGATGCCACTAAGCCATGTGTTTTCCTTAATTTTTCTGTTATCCCCCACATAAAAAACTGTTAAAGAGAATACTGGAGAGTCGGGTATTGGAACATCTTCCTTTCATCACTCAAAAGCAATACTGCTGACCTACAATCCTAAAAATTGATTTTTATATTGTACAAGGGGCGTAAGTTTGATTTAAAGCACACCGGGTATTTTGTGTGCTGTTTTGTCTCACAGATGACAAGAAGAAGTAATTGAATTTTGTCGTGAAAATTATTCATTATACGCTAAGTACATACTCCTAACATACATATTGGTAAGTGTGGATTCATCCTCGTTTTAATACCTTTAGTGGCACTGATGATAGGCTGCCTACCCAAAATGCATCTGTCATGAAATTCGTAAAAGTCGTCACAAGTGAGTTTTTTTCTCAAAGTTTTTAACCTTTATTAAATTTTAAAGTAAATTAATTCCCTAAGTTCTGCATCAAAGTTTCATAATTATAGCTCAAAAGTATATGTATTAATCTGCAATTTTGCTTTTCAGATTCGAGCTGCAAAAATGAAGTGCCTAATCAATGTGATGAGTCATTATGCAGGAGCCTGTGGTTTACGTAGAGTGAGTATCATGCAAAAATAATTCATTCTTGCCCTTTTGACAATTTTCTATGCTTAACTGCCAGCTCTTTATTTACAAGCCATTTTTTTTTAGCCGATAAATTCAAGAGTCGTATACAATGCAGCAAACTGTTTTCACAATGGGTCTGTTGAACGCAAGAGATATAGTTGAGTGAATAGACTTTCACTGGAAAAATTGCATGAAAATCATGATGGGCACATCATAAAAATCTGAAATCCACCTCTTAAGTGCGCAATCTACATAGTTAAAATACACCTTTTCCAGTTCCCCACGTCTGCAGGTAGTTTTTCTCTGTAGCCTTCAATCATGTATAGTGTGAGAAAGGCACGGAAACCTAACTTGAGTAAACAAGCAATCTTGTACGGTGTCACAAATTTTTCTTACGTGGTTTTTTAGGTGTGGACCTGTGTAATTCTAACCCCAGAAAAATAAGACCATAAGGAAATACGTTTTCTATGAGTACTCCCTGTTTCTTTTATTCAGTTTTTGAGTTCCTGAATATCAGCTTATATTTATGTGTCAGGAAATGATATAAGAATGACACAGAAATTAGACCTACAAGTTCGAAAAAATGTATTACTTTGTTGAAAGAAATAAATCTGAATAGCAGCAAAAATTAAACATGAGTAGTCTCATTATGCTTCTGTGTGAAATAATTTTCTGGTCCTTTCAGATGCAATACAAATGGACCAGTTTTATATGGAGGTACACGGAAGGGTATGCCATTTCCCTGGACAAAATTCGGTATCAGAGACAACAAGAAAATTTTGCAGGCATGCTATACACAAGTTCCCATGTATTTTAGGCTGTTGAATTCACTAATTACCTCGGTTTATATCTTTCATGCACCAATTTTCCTGAAGATTGAATTTTACTGAGAAAAGGACCTCTCTAAGAAAATTTTGATTTTCCAGAAAATTGGGTGCAGGGGAAAAACTGAGGTTATTGTCAAACTCACAACTAAAAATTACGTCTGAAGAAATCACCTTATCCCCATGGTTCTCTAAAAAAACATTTTTCACAAACCTGCCTTTTTCAATTTTTTTTCATAGGGGATCATCGATAAGTTTATTCAAAAATCATTGAAAGTGATGAGTGAAGATGACAAGGAATGGCTAGCAGATGCATGCAAATGCTATTTACTATTGGCTCAATGTGGTGGCAGTGGGAATCAAGGATCCATTCACAAAGGGAACTGGAGTCAACAGGTCCAAGTGCTGCTGAACACCGCTCACAGCCTCCTGGACTCCCTGTTCGATTCAGTCACTGAAATACAGGTCTGTATAAACCGATTTAGATTTTTCTTCAGTATTTCCTCTCTTAATATGTCAGTGGATTGCCTTTACAGCAAGGCATCCAGGAAACCACTTCTTATTTGGGTCTTTAGAATGAAAGGGACAATGGACCACCAGACAAGGTACGAATTTCAGCATTCTAATACATGTTGCTAAACTAAAATTTCATGTAAAACACGATGCGTACAGCAAAAATTACCAATATCAACTCCTTACGAAAATATTTAATGATTCTTGATGCGTGCATTCAAACCACCCGCTCATGAAAACTCAATGCTCTACATGATTCACATCGCACGCTAAACGTTATCATGACAGTCTCTGCGATATAAAAGTCTGAAAACCTCAATCTTTACGCTTTGGCTCAGCTATAGCAAATTGCTTAAAGTCTGAAAAACACATGGTGGGAAATGAACATTGCTCGATTGAAAAGCTTGCTGAAACCGTTGTAGTGCGCGATTTGACTCACGTAGAGCTTTGAGTTTCTTGTGAACGAGCAGTTCAAATTCCTTGTAACCAATGTGAAATAAAAACGTTTATATCTTCATTAGGAGTTAGTTTCAGCAATATTCATTGCACGAATCGTTTTCTACATAAAATCCTGGTTAAAAAAACATGTATCAGTCTGTTCAAATTCGTACCTTATCTAGTGGTCCATTGTTTAGAATGATCCAGGAATTGTTTGAAAAACAGGAAAAAATGGAAAATCCGAGTTATTTTGCATCTGTAACTATTAGAAGAACAAGAAACTGAGCTTCATTAAAGACTAAAAGGAAAAAAGCATTGTATGTTACGCTAGTATTTATATTGTATGTTCTAAATTTTCCAGGTATTGTTGTATTATTAATTTCTTCAAAATGTTCAACTAAAATTTATCCCAATAGCTTGGTGTTTTTCTTGGAACTATCAAGAATGATTTCTGATCTTCTCTTGAAAAAAGAAGCTCGTGTATTATAATCAGGACATAATTTTTTTCTCTTTTTTTACCATTAACCCTAAAATTCTGTTGTATTGATAAAGACATTCATTTGAAACTTGGTTGTCCATGCAGGAGCTCTTCTTAGACTAGGAACATTTTCCTGGTTTCATTAAGTAAAATTGTGATCCCGTTATAATTTCTGAGTCGGACAAGGATTGCCTCATGATGTAAATGCCAGGTTTAAAACAATATTAGTGGCCAAATTGAGTATTATTTTTCAACAAGGAAACCAAAATAACTCCTTGGAATTTCCCATGAATATTATTTTATGTAGAGAAAAAAATTCACAGAAAATCTAAAGATAGAGCGTCGGCTAAGTTTTCTTTTGGAAAAATGAAACATGAGTGAAGACTCGCCTTGTCGCCATCAGAGATGCGCACTTATTTTCTTTAAGTATCGATAGTCTACCTCTTTTATCTTTATTGTTGATTTCATATCTAATCATTGATTTATCAGAATTTATTTCAGTTTATTTATCTTTTATCATTCTTTCATGTATCATTTTCATTTATTTTTAACCAAACAAATGCTTTTGTCGATTCAGGTGTCCAAAACTTTATCAGCTGATGTAACAGAGAAAAAACTAGGCGCAATGGAATCAGTACCCACCTTTGAAAATTCCCTCGCACGATACAATTTTTATTCCTCCATGTTCTACAAAACAATGAAAGCTCTGCAGATCATGCTGCTGTAAGTACATTCAAATTTCATGTTTTATTCACCGTAATGAATACCAAGGCTGTTCAAATGGTATCTGGACTAGTGCTGTAACTTCAAAACTAATGAAGCTACATATCTAATCTTCATTTCATTTGAAAGATCAAGTAAATATCTTTTGGTCAAAACCAAAATCAATTTATTTGGAAAACAATTAAAAGACTTATGGCCGTTTCCAGTGAGTCTTTGGAATGAGGATAATCCTTGAAATACATCTGTCTATTCTCAAAAATACTCATGCACGAAATTGTTTTCTTCTTTTTTGGTTGGAATCAAGAGACATTTTTTTAAATAACTGCAATCCAATTTAAAATTGCTTTCTTGCTAAATCTTAATTTTCTGGAGCTGGAAGATTTAGAATGGGTGGATCAAAACAGTTTCTACTACTTTTCTTGAATTCTTATTTCTGACACTCGAGTATTTTTGAAAATGACCAATTCAATCTGGTAAAAGCAAGATGTTGATTTTTGAACTCAGGAACTGATTACTTTGTCACTTTTTTCTTTATTTCAGAGGCGCTTTCCCGGCTCCTAAAAGCATCATGCCTATTGCTGTTTTCAATTTGATATGCCGAGGACTAGCTGTAAACTGCAAAACCGTCTCAAAAAGTTCGCTAACTCTCGACCGAATAGCTCTTGTTTCGGTCATTCCTTTCATCCATGTGGGACTTTTGGATACTTTAGATGCTTTGATTAAATGGTACGAACTTTCTCCCATGGTTTTTTAATACTATTCATTTTTTTACATTTTTTTACATGCATAATTTGTGTCAACTCAAATATTTTTTTCTGACTTCAGTATCATAACCTTGCAAGTAAGCCAAGGGGGAAAAAACTTAGATGGCTGAAAAGTTACATAGTTTGAGGTAACGACTGCAGAAGACGTATTTAGTATACTTTCAAGAATATGAAATTTCTTCGACAGTGTGCCTGGATGACCTGTTTTGCTGAAATGATATTTTTTTCACAAGCAAAAACTGCAAAATTTGAGCATTGTTTTTCTGCTTGACCCTTCCGTTCCATTTATTACCACTCATCGATTACAGCTTTTGAGCTCCTTGTGTGAGAATCAATTTTGGCGTCTTATTACATACATGGATCCATATAATTACATTACACGGGTCAAGCATATTCATCATATTTTTTTGTTTTAATTTCATGTTGAATAGCTGTGGTAGAAATTTGATCCCTTACGGCTCTCTAATATGCAAGTTAACATGCCAGTCCTTGAAATGGACCAATGAAGAGTGGGAATATGCCCTCGAAAAACCGTACAAATCAGTCAGAATCTCAACGTACAAAGCCCTCCAGTCATGGCTCAACTGCTCCAGATTAGCCAGTTGTATTGAGCCATTCCTTGATGAAATCATTGAGCTGTTGGAAAAAGACTTCAAGTACCAAGAGCCCACTATCAAACTTCAGGTAAGATGATAGGTCATGTAACGGTAAGATGAAAGCCATTGAACGAAAGTAGCTAAAGCATGAGATTATTAAATGGCAGCCAAAGCCTTTCAATTGTAAAAAATCCATGAAGAATCTCCATTAATTTTTCAGAACTCAGGGTGGTTTTTCGTTGTCATATTCGGGACGTTTTCTACAATTTTTCAAGAAGATGTTGAGATTTTTTTAAATATATATATCTTTTAAAAGAAAACGAATGAAGCCATATAAAAAATAAGCTTCAAAAATAGTCTTGAATTTTCAAATTCTGCGTATCTCCTCATTTGATTCTGTATTTTATTTTCGCATGTATGTACCCTACAGGATAAAAATCAAAGCGGTGATGCAAAAGGAAAACGCAAGAAGATAACTTATGCACAAGATGAAGAAGTTGGGAGGAAGGACCTCTCAAAAACTATCAATGTCACGTGTAACAAAGATGTTTGCCGTGAATCATTGGTTACTTTGCAACTAATTCTTCAGGCAGCCCCTCAAAACTTAACAGCCTCCCAGCACAAAGTAAGTTGGTGCAGATTCTAAACCTTGTGTTCAAAAAAGGCTTCAGGTTTTATTTATTTTTGGTGCAGTGTAATCTTGATGGGTTGAACAATCTAAGAACTGGTAATTTTGTCGTATCCAAGCAAATCTCAATGATGCCAATTTTAGCTTAAAATTGTCTGTGAGAGAAAACAGCAATAAAGGAGATGTTGCATGTGTGGGGGATTTGTGATTTGACCATTGATTCCCATGTAAAAGTTCGCGAGAAACACGATGGTGCCACTGGTTTTCTCTGAAATCATCTCCCAAGCTCAAAAAAAGCTCTCAAAGTGAGGCCAAAATGGAGGGGATATCCCACCCTACCCTGAGAGTCCACCTCTACATTAAAACAAACTCTCCATGCAAAGATAGGGAGCAAATACATTGACACGGCTGCCACTTTATTTGGGGACTCCAAAACTGAAAACACGGCAACCCTGCTAATGTATTTGCTCCCTATCTTTGCATGGAGAGTTATTTTAATGTAGAGGTGGACTCTCAGGGTAGGGTGGAATATCCCCTCCATTTTGGCCTCACTTTGAGAGCTTTTTTGAGCTTAGGAGATGATTTCAGAGAAAACCAGTGGCACCATCGTGTTTCTCGCGAACTTTTACATAAGAATCAATGGTCAAATTGCAAATCCCTCACACATGCAACATCTCCATTTTGTGTTCTTGACTCATTCCTGTAATTTGGAAGTGCCTAAGGTATCTTATCCACAAAATCATTGAACACTACAGGCAAAATTCATCAATGGAATAGAAACGCTCCCTCTGTTCATGATTTTGCAAAATTTCCTTTGATAACTTGATATAATTATTGGGGCTGCCAAAGCCTCCGCTCTGTGCACTTTTTCCAAGAAGAGCATTTCTTTATTCTGTGGAATAGATAAATGTACAATACCAGTTTTTCCAGCCACAAAAACACCAATATTTGCTATTGAGATTTCTCTCATCATCATCATTTTGTATTGGCAACACTGTGGAGACTTACAGAAAACTGATATGACAACCCTAATATTAGTGGCTGTTAACAGTAAATTTCTTACAGCGGAATAATCCACGTACTCATAGGGACTCATAAAAATGCAGTACAAATTGAAGAGGAAGAGCAATTTATAATCAGTTTTCTACTTTTTTTTTAAAAAAAGGAGCCAATGCAAATTTTGTGAAAGAGCCATATCAGCTTTATTTTCTCTACCAATTTTGACTTCGCAAATGTAGAATCATCTAAAGGCCTTCACCTTACTCCTCTTTTCAGCCCGCCATTTTGGAAGAACTGAACCCTACTAATTATGTTATCTTGGGTCGCAGGATTTACAGGTCACAATCGTTAAGCTTTTATTGGATATCCATCAATCTTCCAGTAGAACAATTCCTCTCCCCTACTTGGATGTCTCGTGTCGTTTACAGCTGTATCGCACTCTGCATTTTCTTGTCATGGAATCTCATTCTGATAGTTGTCCACCTACGACTTATTCAGCTTTCATTTTTATGCATGGCCTCCGAGACTCTTCCCACCAGGTTAGTATATTCCTAAAATTATTTCTTGAGATTGTTTAATGATTTGAGATTGTTTTGTTCCTTATGAGATTATTTGCCTCATCTTGGAAATTCATCAAGAGTGCAAATTCTTCATAAGCCAACAATCAGAATATCGTCAGGGAATGCCGTAGTAACCAAAATAGTAGCATCAGATACATATCACATAGCTATCGTTTTTAATTAACATTTAATTTTTGTTGTTCAATACGCATAAAATATATGTATGTAATACTTAAATGTAGTTCCTTCGTTTTCTGTTAGGTTTAAAAATTACCAGATTTAATTCAAATAGTTTTATGATCAGGTAGTGATACTTGATGAGACTAAATTTGTTTTATTTTGAACATTTTTTTTAGCGAAAGAATGTTCTTAATTTTTAGAATCATCAACTCATGCATAGATCAGTAAATTGCGATCTTTTCATTAGATCTACAGCTATAAACATTCACAAGAAGCTTAAAATGCTCATCCTTCTGTTCTAGGTCTCGTCGTTTTGTGCTGAAGCCTTGAGCAGCATCGAAAAAATAATTCATCCCATATGCAACAGTCTTTACTTCCCAAATGAAGTGTCAGACCGTGATGATCAACACCGCAGCAGGATCATCCAAGCGCCAAGCTCTGAAACTCCCCATGAAGAGGAGTCTCTCAACGATGTAAGCCATGTCTCAGAAAGTATTCTTTCAGACACGAATAATTTAACACGATCCTCAGAGGGTGACACAACAAAGTTTAGCATCAACACTAGTCGTCTTGAATTAGATAGTGCGAAAACTCATCCTAGTCCTTTGTTACAAAGATTTAGAAATTCATTAGGAAGTGCAGGTGCAGATTCTCCAAAATCTAGTGATGGTTCATTCTCTTCTGGTTCTATGGTCACAGTCGTAGAAAATCCAGCTTTCATAAACAAAGATAAGTTGGCAACAAGTGATGCAATCATTCATAGAACTGAGGAATCGAAAAGTAAGTCACCGCAAGGAGGAAAAAGCTCCATAGAGCTAAACAAGAGATCTGCAGAGGCGGAAGAAATTTTAATAGATTCCGAAGAGAATTCAAGAGAGGCGGAAGTGTCCTCCACAGAGCCACCGCAGAAGAAACCAAAAACCAAGGAATCGGATAGAACAGAGGCTATAGAAGCTCCAGCAGTTATCAGGCTTGATCAAGCTGAAACTGGAGGTAGTGATGATGAAGTTCAAGAAATGCTCGGTGATTTTGTCGATCTTGTCAATGAAGAGTGAGTTCATCTCACCGATCCATGTAATTTTTTTTTCCCCATAAAATGTAAAAAAATTGCAATGATGCATGAATTAGAAATTGAATCTAGGTACGAGATCTGCTGAAAGTGAATCAATTTTACTTGCCTCAAGTGAATTCAAGCACTGATTCTATGTAATTTTAATGTAATTTCAATTTAAGCCGGTTTTTGGGTGTCAGATCTAAATTTGAAAAAATGGACAAGGTAGTGGATGAAATCTTTGCATCCTTAACTTGAAGTGAAACTAGTTACTTTTACGTCTAGGTATGTTTCTTAAATTAGAGTCTCAGTCAATGTTTGGTTTAATATTCCGTAAGAAAGATTTTCTACCCATCCTGCAAATTTTGTAAGATTTAAAAGAAGGAATTCATTCTGAATGTCCGTTTAACATGGGGTGCAAGACTACAAATAAAAATGAAATAGGGAAGTGTTACAGTGTGCTCCTCTTTTTCCCCCTCTTCACGATATGGAATATCTGAATAATGTTAGCTGCTCAAAAATCTGTACTAGTGATTCTTACAATAACTTTATAATTGTGATAATGACATTGTGATAATGACATTGTCATTATTTTGCCTTGAATTCCCTGATTTTTGTAAAATAATACTAAGATCACAAGTATTTTGGAAAAACTTATGGAATCTGTTTTTTGTATTCTTTTCTCAGTTGTTTCATATATAGATTGGGCGCATTGGAGTTAAAAGGAAATATCTTGATTGCGTCATGGGCCCTATCGTGCATGTATTTTCATGGGTCTCAAAGCCCAGGTCACAAATTCCTATTGATTTAATTACGTCCTATTAAGAGTTAGGTGTTCATTCACCACTAAAATATGTACCCGCTATTTTAAAATATTTCTATTATTTTATTCGTAATCAATAATTACTGTTTTGTGAAAAAAATGTTAGATTTAATAAAATCTGTGATTTTTTTAAAGTCTCTGGTCAGTTGCCAAATTTATCTTTTACAAACCTAACATTTGCTTAAATCTGTTTTTTTTTTACGCATCTGTGGAGCTCAATATACATAAGTATGTGATTGTCTTTGAATCCTTTAACTAACAATATTGATTGATTATTTATGTTGATCACTGATTCTAAATGAGAAGTTGAACTTTCAATTTTTCGATTATCTTAACTTATGAATACCTCATGTAGAGAGGTTCAGAAAAAGACATTACATAATAGAGCTAGTTATACTCGGGGAGCGGAGCGGGCGGAGGACTCAGCAAATCATCGTCGGTGGGCAGCCTTGAAGACGAGGGATTGGGGTGATTCCTCCGCTGCGAGGAAAAAAGAGGTATTGGTACAAAACTTCATCGGTGAGGTTTCTCCCAGATGAGGGAATCACCTCTGTCTCCTGGACATGAAACACTCGCACTGCTTAAAATCTACAAGCAGCGATTATGCGCGACTGAAGCTGTCTTTACAGGAAATTCCTGGACACATAGACTAGCGGCAGCGCGAAGGCATGCCAAGAGCCAAACTTTGGGCTGATGCAGGCCGGAGGGGTGGCGGGGTGAGTCTTGGGGAAATCCGCCAGGAATGAGGGATTGGCCTGCCGCTCGAGCAAACCAGAACCTCGTGACGAGGAATTGGGTTTATTTCTCCTCTGCAAGGAAACTCGTGGACAAGGTATTGCACCAATACCTCATTGGCTCGTCGGAGCGCCGTTGAGGATTTCCCTTAAACCTCGAAGATGAGGTTTTACGCTTGATGAGGACAGTATTTGGCCGATTCCTCTCCTCTGCTTCCCTCCGCTCGCGAACCCTGGTTTGCACTTCAGCATTAGCCCTAGTTGCATCATCCAGCACTAGAGGCCTTGAAGTGGTCTTTCTTGAGCTTTTTTTCCAGAGTTTCTACTGTGTTTTAATTATCTGGTACTTTCTGCTTTGAATGAGCGTATCTTGAAAAATCAGTGGAAAATTAAACTTGTTCTGTATCATGCTTTCTGAAGCGTTTGTAGACGTTCTTGGCATCAATTGGAAATAAGAGAAAAGACAACGGCTTTAACAACTAACGAGGAATGTTTATTTTTTCATCTTCTATATAAAAAAAGTATTGCCACAAGACTACGGTGGTATAAAACCACTCAGAATTCACAGTCAAATGGATTTAGGTGAACAATCCTGTAAAATCATTATCTAGAAACGTAAAAAATGAAACGACTTCTCAATGAATTTGTAAGCTCACCCTTCATCTATGGGCTAACTTCTGCCAGGCCACTTTGACAAAATTATATTAAGTCAAAGGTTAACATCATTTCTTGTTTTGCCAAACCAATTTAATATTGGCCAAAACTAGTGTGTCTTGCTGATCTTACTCGGTTCCGGAATGTTTCCGCCAAAGTTCAGGGCAAGTTCTCCCATTTGGAAGAGGCATCATGAAGTATGAAAGCATTTTGGTATCAATGTTACAAAAAAAAAAATTATATTAATTTCCTCTGCACAAATTAGATAACATAGATGAGTGAAATTAACTTTATTGAAGAGTTAAATAAAGGGAGGAACGTAATAATCGGTTTTTGGCTATAACTTTCTCCCAGCAGAAGTACTTTTAGAACATACTTTAATTTGTGGCCTGTCCTCAGTGCCTACTTGATTTTTTATAAAATTTAATATCAGTATTTCAGCTCTGTGCATAAAAGCTCACTAGAGATGAGGCTAGCTCAATTTTTCAGGAGAAAGACACGGGTTTTATTCGGGCTTCATGATCAAGGAAGTCTGACTTGGTGAAAAATGTCTACACTAGTTATTACGTTCAATTATAATTTTGGTTAAATTTTTGCGTAAGTATCCCTTTAACTGTTAGCTAGAGTGCCCACATAGCTTGGAATTCTAGAAAATGGGGGAAGTCAGAATGATTTCTTTTTCGTTTTTTCAAAAAGGAATAATCATTTTATCCTTGCTATTCTCAATTTTCCAAGTATCCAAGCCGTGTGGACACCTTGTGGCTGATAGTTGCAAATTAATGTTGACAAAAATTAGGCCTACTTTTCCTGAGAAAGCTATATTATGATCACCAATGTGAGATTTTCTCCGCAGCATTAATTTGAATTTCTGGATGTGTTAAGACAGCCAAAAAGTCAGGATCAAAATGTGAGTGCAGGATAAGCAGGAGTGAAAAAAAATCTTAAGGATGTTTTATAGAGCGCTTCTCCTAGGTGTGCCGAGTTTTCTTAATTTGAAATAACTGTACAACAAGAATAGACATTAATCAAAATATGAATAAAAATGAATTAGATAGCCACTGAATGCTTTCAACCAAATAACCTCACTGAATAATTAAATAGCTCTTAATATGCAATTGAACATGAAAACAAAAAAAATTCTATGAAATAGTTATTTTTACCACAGTTGAAATGTTTAACTATTCAAAGTTGAGAAAATGCCGGTTGAGATATACTGCAAAAGTAAATAATAAATGAGGATTACTATTATCTAGCGATGAGTATTTTTTCTTAGAGGAGGAACGTAACAATAACTTGCTTCTCCGGTAGAGACTTAAACATGTATAAATTGGGATTTACAAAGCATCAATAAGACAGAGTTTCATCCCCTTCAAACAAGTACTGCGAGAGGATGATATCATTCAGTAAAAGAAAATTAATTGACACCTCAAAAAGATTTAATTTTAAAACAAGAGTTGCTTCAAAGGAACAGTTTTTATCAAAATAGTTTTAACGGCAAGATAAAACTTCCCAAATCAGTTACTCAATTTGAAAGTGATCTTGCTGAGGAGTCAGGAATTTTTTAGAGGAGAGGGATCAAATTTATGTGAACCAGTTATGCTTTAACTCTAACTTACGATCTTTTCGGAGGGTTAAAAGGCTGTTTCAAAGAGCATAAAAGAGGCTGCTTGACAGAGAGTGCTTCATATTTTCAAGTAAAGACAAATAAGAAGTATTAATATCATTGCACTATTGAGTTAAAAATACTGCTTTCGCTTTGGGACAGAATTAGTGGAGGGTGATGACTTGTTCATTCAAAAGGGATAACTCTCTGTGAGTCTGAAGTATTTTGTAAGTTGCATTCCTTTGATTCCATCATCAAAAAATTTTGATGTGCAGTTTGACTGAAATACTCAAGGGGATAGAACACCTTTTGGTGGACAGACTTATTGGTTCTATGAATTTTTGAGATAAGTTCAAATTACATTGATAATAATCTTTGGGGAATAACTTTATCAGTAAAACTTTCAAGAATACTTGAGCGATTTCCAAAAATTACAGGATTTTAGGGATCTTGAAAATTCAAAAACATAATCAAAAATTTTCCAAGATGTCACAAACCACTCACAGAGCTTATGCCACACAAAAAAATAAAAGAAAAAAAAATTAGAAAAAATAAAAGAGGAGGTCAATCAAAAAATGACATGGATTGGTGGGAGGATAGGTTTCGAAGGCAATTGGGAGTCGCAGAACGCCTCAAAGCACTGAATAGCAGCTTAAATATTATATGGTACATGGATTAGTTTCCATTTAAAAAATTGCAAATAATGGGAAATTTGCAACACTGAAGACTGAGGCTAACATTTCCTGGGGGGAGGGGAGACAGGTTTGCTTGCAGCAACTCATTTCTTTGAAGGCAGTCCTTTCCCCATTCTATCATGATATTTATTTGATTAATATCAGTTATTCAAGCATAAAAAAAAATAATACCTCACAGACTTTAGAAATTGAACACCTCAAGTCTTATGAATTCGAAGTGGAGAGTCTTGAAGAAATAGAATCAGCAGTTAAAGAAATTGAAAGCTAAGACTCTCCACATCTCGTTGATAAGTGATTTGCGTGTGTTGTTTCCAAGGATGGATTTTCTTGCAATGAGCAATCTGCAATTTCTGCTATCTCTATTGGACTTTCCGCCCTTGTTTCTGAATCATTACATACGCTGCTACAATTCACTTCTTGTATCTTATTAATGAACTTCAAAGGATTTTCAATACTTTCATTATTGCTTGCTTTAATTAGATCCTCTGACGTCACCAGGCTTAAATTGGTTACCTCCTCTAAGTTTTTAGAAACAGAGGATTCAAAAATTTCACTGCCATTGCTAATTTTTGTTTCGCTTAATACTTCAGACTCACCACATTTTGGTTCTTCAGAAATTTTCAAGGCATCTTCTGAATTCTTCAAATGAGTACTAGAATTTGAAATTTCGTCTACAGGGACTTCAGCTCTTTCTGAAGAAGTATCACTATTTTTCACACTTGAACTTAAATTAGAGTCTCTATTTTGTGAAGTCACATCAATGGTGCCCTCATGGGGCACTGTTGGTAAACTCCGATACAAATTTGATACGCTGGGAAAACTGACTCTAAGATTGGATTCAGAGGGGTCAACTTCATTCCGAATCAATGGTAAACTTGAGTGCTGATCAGTTCCGTTGTTTGACTGGACTTGCTCTCCTTGCCATTGTAAAAACATTTGTGGTACTGTGTTTCGAATTGAGTCTTCATACGACGAGGACTGGAAAGATGAACTGATATAACTTAAACTGCCACTTCCTTCCCATCTGTCCAGGCCTTTATCTAGAGAGTAGCTCAGAGATGAGCCTGTATTCAAACTAAACTGTGGTGAAATTTGACGATTTGGACTGAAGGATGAGGAGACTTCTGTTGGTGGTCGGGAAAACGAGCGCTTGTGTAAGTCAAATGAGGGACTGAAATGAGAGATAAAGTTAATATTAGTGCCAAGTTCAACAAATAAGGAGAGGAAATTATTCTAATCCTGTTGATTGCTTTAATTTTTTTCCCCCGAAAATGGGTGAGTGCTCGTAGGGGGGGATCATGTCAAATTCCACTATTATACCAGGTGGCCTCAGGTAGTAATTGAGGGCTATAAAGCAATACCATCTAACTGACAATTTTGGCGAAAATGAGTTAGTAATTTTGCCGCATTCTTCAGTTTTAAATACTCAAGCTAATGTTCTTAGTTTTTTCCAATTCCATACGGAAGCGCTGTAAAGATGCTGAAATGTATAAAGGAAAATTGCGAATCCAACCACAAAATTGCAATAACAGCAAAATTTCTTCTTTATCCTGCAAAATCGTCAGTATGAGGATAGGTGGTACTGTTCCTTAGCCATCCGAATGCATGCCCTCATGGAGAAACGGATTCAGGAAACAGGTGTGGAACCTGTCCTCTTAGCTGGCACATGAAATTTTAAAGGATATTAAAAAAAGAAAGATGGGACTGGGTTTTTGTTCAAACTCAAAGTTGAATCTAAAAGGGCACATTTTTAACCATGTAAACAGTAGTCGTTTCGGGGATGATGGAATGACATGATTTACAAAATTAGTAAAACCAACAAAAAAATACCGTACAGCCAAAATGAATCCACTTATTTAATTAACATATCCATTTTACTTTGCGGTAGAGAGATGACACTGTAAGACAATTTTGGTACATTCATTTTTCATTATTTTCACTATTCCAATCTCCCACGTATACACAAATAAAACATTAGGCAAGTAAAATGAAAAAAGGGAGGTTCGAATAATTTTTAAAAGCTTTCGGAAAGGTATGTACCCAAATCAATGTAGCCTTATTAACACCCTTGTGTATTAGAAAAAAGCTGCAGGAGTGAGACAGCAATTGAGGACTTGGAGACGAAAAGAGACCGTTTTTATAACAGTGTCTCAGAGTCTCTAACAATGTTTTTTTTTTTGGTGAGGAAACTATTTGATCTCCAAACTTGAGATTGGTGCTCATGGTGTTGCTGAACTACGAAGAATATTCAGCTGAATTCCTATTTCTCTATAAGTAATTTTCTTCTTCTTGGGAATAAACATGCAGAGAGAAATTCTGAAACACTGATCCTGAGAAGAGCTCTTTTCGCGATCACTTGGAGTGGCAAAAAGGATTGATAATGAGCAAAAAAAATGGTTTAAACACAGATATGTTAAATGTACTTACACAAAGCTTCCAAGTTTGGCTTGTAAAAGTGATGCTAAGTTTGGCAAGGTTGTTCGAAGATCATTGGTAGAGATGCCACAGTACCATCGTAACTGGGCTATATTCTTGTTCAATAAATAAACCCCATAGTTGAACTGAAGTTTATCTTTGCCTCGAGAAAATAGCGGAAACCTATATTTTTGGATTGAAAAGAAAAAAAATCTAAGATTAGATTGAAGCACAGCCACTTGAAAAAAAGGTTTCCCCCCTCCAAAAAAAAAATGTTGCAGATGAAATGAAATTTTGCAGCAGGATTAAAAGCACCAGAGAAAGCGAGAATGCGTCGAGAACCAATTTATCATTACAGCAACCATGTGGTATTCTCTGTCCCTTACTTGCTTTCATTTGCAATCTCTGCCTCAAAATCAGCTGAAAATTTGCAGGCTCATAAATAAAGTTCTACAGCACTTAAGTTTCGGGATCGCAATTTACCTGCAGCTTTTACTTTCTGCATTCTGCTTTTTAAAATTTAGCCCCAATTTTTGCGCTACAGATTTCTTGCACTCCTACTCACCACTTTTGATTTAAACTCTTATACCCCCCCCCCCAACTGTTAAAGCTTTCATTTCAAAGCAGAAATTTAAAAGCTCCTTCTTGCATTCTTAAGCTTGCCCTGATAAATTTTCAAAAAACAAATGAACAGTATATACTTACTGTCTATCTTTATCAGGCATACTGGCATTAATATGATCCATGATTTTACTTCTTGAACCAAAATGGATGATGGGATATCGAGGAGGAACATGTAGAAAGTAAGCTATCATTTGGACTAGGTGAGCAACATAACCTAAGGCAGCAGCAATTTGTGTTTCATCATGTCCACCAAAATCCTCCGAGTTAGGAAGGTGGATCCCACAAATGGCATATTTTCCCTCTGACATCTGTAAGAAAGGAAATTTTACTTTAAGTATAAAAGTAAATCTGGTACACAACGCTATTTCCCAGCAATTGCTCTCTAATTTTAAAAGTGTTCCCAATCTATTTTGCGTAGCTTAGAAGAGAAAGAACCACGCACTCTCTAGTCAGAGTACCGGAAGCCAGCTTCTTGAAAAAAAGGTCTTGATACAAAATAAACACTTATAAAGTCTCTTCACTGCTCCTGCAGCTTCAGTCAGGGAATTTTTCTTGATTGATGCTGCACAAGTTTATTCTATGATCACAAACTGAATTTACTGACCAAGTTTTATAAGTAGGATATGAAGTAACTTCAACCAATAATAGGAGCACAAAATAACATGATTTTTACATACCTCTTTTGCTCTCTTAATGTGCAATGTGGATTAGTGGACTTGAGAAATACCGCTGATTATGCAATTTTAAACTGGTGCATAAATCATTGGACTTTGGATTAACATTCTTTTAGGAATTGACACAAACTTTCATTTCATACTCATGCATACTTAAACTTCATTCATGACTTTCGGAGCTACTGCATTGTGTCTGCCAGATCTGTTTGTCAAAAAGTGGTGGCCCTTATCCGCTATTCCAGGAAAAATTAGTATTGTCACCTTCTCCTGAAACTTACTCGATGATACCTTGTTTGTCCTTAGGGGTCCAAGGATTTTTAAAAACATATTTTTCCAAATTTGTTTCCAACTGTAGCCACCGTACCACTTATTCTCTTCAAGCTCATTAAGTGGGAAAAAATTTGAAGAAAATGAAATTTATAAGAAATTAGTAATACCTCTGTTATTGGGTAGATGTAACTTAGCTCATTGATGAGCCTTTTTCTGCGAAAAGAAAGTTGCGATGATGCTTGAGCAAGCGCATCTTGCGTTTCAACACACTGTTTATGCCACTGCCGTGTGCACTCAATATCACGTTTTAATTCTCTATACTTTTCCATCAATTCACAGCCTGCCAGCAACAAACAAAAAACAAAAGTTAGCCTAAAGAAAAATTGCACGAACTAATTCAAATATGTATTAAGAATTCCCTTCATGAAGTCATCAGTTAAAAGTGAATATTTTAAACAAATTCAGCAAGAATGACTAAATATTACTTGAGCTTCCAAGATACAACTAACTAAAACAATTTTTAGTGCCTCCTTCTCTGTCACTATTTTTATGTTGCTTTCAACTACTGAAAATAGTGAATTCTAAGCATTACGGTTACTTTTACTAAGGGTTAAAGTTTTATTTTATTTCTGAAGCAGAAGCAACTTTGAATCAAAAGTTAGTTGAAAGAAGACGTCAGAGTAGAATATCTAAATTGAATTCACAATATTAAAATCTTTAAAATCAAGGTAAATACTCTTTCCGGGTGCAAAAAGACAGCGAGAGAGAAAACACGATTGAAATAATTAGATTTATTTTCTGCAATTGACAGTCACCTAAAGAGAGGAGTCTCAATTTACTACAGTGAAGAGTTAAGTGACCAAAATATTAGGTAATGAAACTGTACCTTTATCTTGATTTGACTCATACAGAGTATTTTTCCTTTGCGATAATCGTCGGAGTTCGGCCAACTTCCTAGACTTCTCCTGACTTAACAGTTGAACCCGAAACTTGACCAGCTCAATATCCTTCTTGACAGCGAGTATTTCATGCTGCTGAGGCCTTTGAGGTTCTGACTGATTAAGTAATTTTCGTAAAGTTCTACTAGGTTCCCGCACTTCTGTTCCTGAAAGCTGCGGCCCACCCATCAGGATTTGTTTGCGTAAATTTTCAGCAACTTCAGTTTGTTTCTTTATCTCTTGCTGAACTTCATGGATTCTGAAAACAGAAATTGAAATACTTCTATACACTGCAACTGTTTTTAAGATTTTTTTGTATATGCTGGAGAATAAAACTTGATATCAGAAAAATACATAGGGTATGGAACAGCATGAGCATTAATATTTTCCAACCTAAGCCACTATCTGTAGATTTGCATGAGTTATACATGCCTGATTATTTTTACCTTCATTAAAAACTGAAAGGTAGGTACATGGATTTTTAAATGCAAGTTTCAGCCTTTTAGGCCAAATATAAGGGATACTTTGAAAATAGTCTACTTGAATAATCATTTTTCTTGCGTTAAATGAAAATCTTTTACTGTGAACTAGAGGTATTATACCCCGGAAAAAGGATAGGATATTGATTCTTTTTGACATTTATATGGGGTAAAGGTCTTTTATTAGTAGAATGTTCCTGCAGGAGCAGATATTCTCCTGCATATGTGAATAGAAAGTTTGTCGCAAGAGAACCTTGTTTCAACCAAACTGACGGAGGTCTTAAATTCAAATATTCTCAAACTGTGAGTGTTTGAGGCAAACAATACCTCTTGTAGAACCAAATGAATGAGAATGATTTCAAACATTGAGAACACGATCTCAGAAGGTTGAAAACTTACTTGGACATTAATGAAACAGTACAGCTTGTTTTAACATCCTTGGTGGGCAAATTAACTGAGGTTAGCCGCACGACCAAAGGCGATTTGCCTTTGAAGCATTGAGGGTCTGTGAAGTAACCACCATGCATGTAAAACACGATTGTATTGGTGGAAAATACTGCTGGATTGTTGCGAGATAGTTGAGATCCTATGTAAACAAGGCCGCTAAAACATACTCCCCAGACAGTGACCTCTGTATCTTCATTGTTGTAGTTTTGCCATACACGAATCACGATACCTGCATGCATTTTTTCATTATTAAAAGTGATGAAAAAACAATATCCAGTATGATAGTACAAATAAAATCTCAAAAAAATAAAAAAAGAGGAAGGAAAAGAACATAAAAAATAGAGCGAGAAACCACAAAAATTAGGTAAACAAAACCTGACTGAACGTTTGATTGATTTCATTGATTTAAAAAAATGTTATACCTGACTCCTGACTTAATTTGACCCAGATTACCTGCACTAAGACTTCATAAATCAAGGTGTAATATTTTGCAGTTGGACGGTATTGACTTTCATTTAGGATATCAACAGAGATTTTTTGGAAATGGGAAGCTGAATTTTTTTTTTTTTTTTCGCGCTAGGTAAGAGTCTAAGGAATCTAACAAAAAATTTTTTTTGAAAATCCTTACAGTGAAACCAAGGGAAAGTGCAGGTACCTTAGCATCAGTACATTTTACATGGTGAGGATAGGAACTGCTGATTCCTCTTAAAAATAAATAAATAAATGAATAAAAGGCACTGATAATAAAAGGTCAAACCTGTGATAATATTCAGCTGGAAGAGTTGGTACTTTCATTGCCGTGCTAAATATACCTGGTGAAGCGAACTCATCTTATAGGAGCGCAGCAAAGCCTTAAAATTTTGGCGCTCTTTTAACATTAGAGCAGAATCTTACTATTTTCTTCACCTAGAAGTTCAAAGATGGTGATACTGTGGGGCATTGAATGTATATAATTTTTCCTGACGCTGTTGAATACCTAATTTTCCCAAATGATTTACATCACACAATTGAGGAAAAATATAAAAACCGTTTTTCTTTGCAGATCAAATAGGTATAAAACGACTCTTTCGCCTGCGTCGCTCGATTTATTCCAAGATAGAATTTAGGCTTCACTTTTCTGAAAGACGTTCTTGAAAAAGGAGATATTCGAAGGACAAAAATATGTACTTTTCATCTATTTTAGATTGCTTGCTTAAGTCGAGGGTTAAGAATGATAAATGTACCTGTGGCAGTTCCATGAGCGGGATTTGTTATTTCAAATTCTGACCATTTTGGGTTCTCACTAGTCAATTTCTCACTGGTGTAAAACGGGGATGACATTGTGGTAAGGTGTAGCGTGTAATAATAGCGCTTCCCCTTTTTCCGTTTTTCCTCTGCACTTATGTCTTGGTTGATATTATATGCGATGACCTGGATCAGGTTTCGTAATCGTTGCTGAAAGATCAAAAATATTGAATAAGTTATTATGGGCCAAAAAAATTTGAAAACTTCTTATGCTTGAAAAATCTACCTATTAAAAATAATCAAACATAGAAGTTCTATCCTAGTATTCACGATAGGGAGAAGGAACAATAACAACTTGTGAAGTAGGTAGACCGCAAAGGTATTAATATGAAAGATAAGATTATTGCAAAGAGACAAAATGCCCACATACCGATGCTATTCAGCAAATGTGGTGCGAAATGAGGTAGAATGTAAATTATATGCGTTCTAAATTTCAACTTGTAAAAAAAGTGAAGGGAGCGTGCACTTTTTGAAAAAGAAATAGAAAATGGAGTCAAGCACGCAATTTAACCTTGATACCTAGTTCATTAGTCCCATTTTTAAATCTGCAAAAATACTTAGCTACTGATCAACAGGTTAATTTGGTTCTAAGGCAATAAACTGCAGCAAAAATGCAAACTAAAATTAAGTGTGGTTGTATATAAAATAAGAAAGGTATATTACCTGTTGTGTAATCAGAGGTATCCACTCCTTCCAGCGCATGTTTGCTCTTGGTGATATTAACGACATCACTACAATCTAGCCAATGATACCCAGAACCCATTACTTCCTGACGTGTCAGGCAACACAATGATTCGAGTCTGAAACAGTACCCGGATAAATGTGAAAAAAAAGACAAAACAAAGATCTTCAGTGTTTCAGCCAACATTAAGCGTATTTATGTCTATTTCCTCACACCTAGCATGTATCAAATTTTGGAGACAATCATTAAAACTGGATATTACACCTCTATATCATGTCTATTCTTCACTTAGAGGTTTACTCTTGGACTGATAGTCAATCAAGGGGCGTCTCTAGCTCTTGCTTCTTCCAGTGTAATCCTGAATTAATATGAGAGAAAGTCCATGCAACAAGACTATTGGAAAGGAAAGGATCCAAATTTATGTTGAATATTTTAAAATCACTGAAGACTGTTGGGTGAAAGTTATGAAACGTTCAAGAGGCCGATCCTTCGGTGATTATTTATGATCACGATAAATTGGCAATTATGATGAAAGTTTTTAGGGAACATAAAAATAACAAACCTGTAAGAAGATATTCTAAAAGGGAACACAAACAAGTAATTTTGTAATGCATTAAATTTATAAAAGGTGCCGTTTTTTTAAATCAAGACTATTGAAGACAAGAGGTTTTCAGTTTTCTATCGTAAAAAAACTTCAGGGCAGGATAATCACACGTTTCTTGAACCACGAAGAGTATGATAACTGAGAAGTGAGCACAATGAACTGGTACAATCTCGAAACTTGAACACCAAAATAAGTATGGAAAATGGGAGAAACTGAATCGAAAGATTTCAGCATTCAGCGAAGAAATTTCTGAAACTTCCTTATCAGCGACATTAAGCTTCAGCGATTTGCAGGTTATGTCATAAACACCACAATGCACCATTCACCTGAAAATTCAGCACCAACCATCGGAATTCTCACTTGTAAACAAATATATTTTTACCGAATTCCTGTCAATTTTAATTTTATCCTTTTTACATATTTTTTATCAATCTTTCACTCATCACTCATTTTACATTTTATTTAAGTTTGCGTGCAAGGAATAGTCCACCCTACAGTCACCTCTTTTTCCTTGTCCTATTGTGAATAAACAAACCAGTGTGATTTGTTGCGTTCTTTGAACCATGACCAAGTGGTCACTTTCTCAACTCTACTTCTTTTGAGGACTCATAATGGCCGGTACATCCAAAGAGGTAATCGTCATTTAATTTTCCAACTTACAACTGAATAAATTATGGACCAAGGACTATCTCAGTATCCATCCATAAGTTCTGCATGATTTTGTCTGCGACAAGTTGATGCGAGGGTGTCGGGTATCCAGGTACCCTTTTATTTTAGAAGTAGCCATCACAGTACTGTGCGCTTTGCAACACCAAACAAGTAAAAGCACCCTTGTCTATCCATACAGAGACATTCTGAGAAATTGCACCTTCTAATTTTACTAAGAATGCTACGTATCTATGAATTAGTTGGGTGTCAGTGCCTCACACGTTACCCTCTGGTAGGAATCGAATCTCGTATCTTCTCAAGCAACCCAAGGCTATTTGCTTGGTGAGACATGTGTGGAGAATGAGGGATGGTTGGTTGCATCAAGAAATTTATGATTGGGTTTCCTATTGAAGAAGGCGGTGAGGGTAGCCAGCACTGGCGTAACTATCGCACCTGCCGCCTCTGCCAGGCGGGGGTTGCAGCTTAGCAAGGGATGCCAAAATTTTAGAGAGGGAAGCACTTAATGTGAAATTGGGGAGAGACACGCCCCAGACTGGGGGGGGGGGGGAGATTCCTTCTAATGTCACTAATACCCTGTAAGTAGCTGTAGATAAATTATTTCCCAACTAGAAGTGCCTAGCATTTTCCGTTATTTACATCTATATGCCATTGAACTGATCTGTCGACTTTTTTACTTGTTTTTTACTTTATTCCTTTGTCACTTTACCTTTCTCGAACGTCTCTTCTAGTCTGGCGAACCTGAGCTGAAAAGACAAGGATCTTTACGTCGAGTAGTTCCATCTCTACCAGGTAGCGAGTCAATGCTGAAGCTTTTGAGCCGAAGTCACATTTCTCAGCCAAACAATGTGCAGCTGAAGCCATTTAACTCATTCTTTTTAGAATATAGCATCATTTCCGAATTGTAAGTTCAGCATGTTTCTCCTGTGTTTTACTTTTCAATTATCAAGTGTTATCTGCAAGATTAAATTTGACAAAATGTTGGTGAGACCAGGATGATGTAGATGGCTTATATCTCCATTGCAGTGTTTAAAAATTTCAGCTCCTATTTTATTATTTTGAAGAGAAAGAAGCTTCCTTTATGGCTTGAAATTTATATAAAATGTTCTGCTAACAGAGAAGAAAGATTGAGAAAGTTTTCAAAAAATTACATCAATTGATTTTCCACCAAATAAGTAAAGATTGACAGGAAGTCTACAATGTTGTGAGCTGAGATATGCACTTTGGCAATCGATATATATCTCATTTTACTGTCCCAAATTACCAGTTGTACTCTCAGTTCTGAAGGAAGCAGCTCTCAGGTTCACGAATGAAATTTCGTGACAGTTTATTCCATGTTTAAGTTGAAAATTTCTCTTCTGAATTGAATTGGGACGTGAGAAAACCACTAATGTCAATTTTTCCAGTCTTCAGTTTCTTTGAAATGATAATACTTTTCGGGGTTGGAGGTAACCACAAAAGTGGCGTCAGTACTGGTCACCGGGTTACCTTAATCCCGAAACGAGTCCTTTCTTCACTTTTATGGTTGTATCATCTCTTTAAAAGTATTATCTTAACTCAAAGAAGTGAAGACTGGAAAAACGGACATTACCAGTTTTCGCATGTCCGGAATCAATTACTTTCCCACTATGAAAACTTGTGACACAATATATGACAGGCAAGAAGAGGGCAACCTTCTCATCAGCATCATCTTTGGTTGTTTTGATGAAAGTTTAATATCATTATCCTTAGTGTCCTGAACAAAAATTTTGCAGGTAGTTAGAAGATTTCATATATCTGGTTTTCAAGATTTTCACCTGCATATCGACGGTGAAACTACCAAACCACGTATCTCGGTTTGCGACGTCGCAGACTTCCTGTCATACTTTATTTTTTAAATGAAAAACTACTTAACGCCCAGTCTTGAAAATTTCTGTGATTTTTCCTCTTCGCGCGGAGAAAATTCTGTGAAAATTTCAAGGAATGATATTGATTTGGTCTACTTCCAAAAAATAAAATCTAAGCGTAGATTTTTAAACACTGCAAACGAGATACGTGGTTTGGTAGTTTCACCGTCGTTATGTTGCATTTAACGTTGTATTCCAAGTAAAACATCAGAAAAATATATTTTATTTTTCCCTGTGTTCTTAATTAAAAAATTTTTCTGCTGAAGCTATACCTGACTTAAAAAACTCTTTCAAATAATTCATGTGAGTTTTCTGCAACAGATGTTGATTCTATTAAGGGAAGGGAAGAGAAGGATTTCCCAGTGATTTCCAGAACAAAAACTCTCGCAAACTTTTCAAACAGGAGTCATAAGAGTAGAAAAAAACAAAAACATGAAAATTCAGGAAATTTTAAAATGAAGAAATATATAATATAAATATGTAAAATGGAAACCCTGTTTTACTAATTATTTTTCCTCCCCTTTACAGTAACATTGTTGCGCGGCATAAAATTCCTGGTCTTTATACGGCTCCGTCTGCAGCCTCACCCCTGGGTAAGTCACTCGCTTGTTCCTCTTTTCCACACTGTAAATTTTATATGCCTTATGTGACCCACAAAGATACTTCTGTTTTGTAAGAAATGAAAACTTAGTTGATGTAGGCAAGGTGGATAAAGAATGGTGGTTGCATTTGGTACCCTCTTTACGTTACAAGGTATCGGTCACATGAACCGATGGAGGACCGGGGGAATGGCCACCATTCTTTAACCGCCTTGGGGATCCGCCGGATCCGCCTATATTATCCGCCTATGTAGGTAACTTGCAAATCAATAGGCTAATGCAGAAATGCTGTTTCCTATTAATGTGACATTTTTGACTTGTAGAGTCATTAATGAGACATCGTGTCTACTAAATCAATGACCAGGCTTGTCCATGGATCCTCTAAGAAGATCAGGAGTTAATATCTGCTTGCTTTCCGTGTTGGAAATAAGTTCAATGCCAATTCTTCTCCATCTCTAAAGTTTTGGCGAATGACTTAAAGAAACAATTGAAAAATCAATGAATTTCATATACGTCAAGTCCAATCTTTAACAGTAGTATAATTATATTACTGTATCCGTTTCACTCAAATGCTGTTACAGCATGTGAAATTATTTTTCTTAATTTTAGTATGCTCTCAAATCTTTTGATGCATTTTATCTAGAACTTTCAAAATAACTTATTATAAGGCTACACTTATGGAGCAGCCTCAAATTTTGATTACAAGTTAAAAACTACTCAAGCTGCAGCATTTAAAATCTTCAGAATGCTTTGAAATGTTATCATATCACTTCATCAGATATATTATTTTAGTCGACTTTTTGAAGTTGATTTAATGGCTTTATTATTTGATGTATCTTTATAAAATGTTGCCAATTCTAAGAAAGGAAAATAGGCAACACCAAAACGGACACTTCTTAAGGGTTGTATCACTAAGCATCAAAATATCAAATTAATGTACCACCAAATCAGTTTATTTCAAAGGAATATTTTATTAATCTTAACTTGATTGTGTTATTTCAGAATGGTATGCTGTTTTATTTATCAGGTCAGGGCCCTATGAAGGAGCAATTTTCAGATTTACCATGCTTATTCCTGAGACGTTTCCTGATAGCACGACACCTGTACGTATAACATTCATTTGTCTATTCTGTCTTAAAACCCCATTTAGCGAAAGCATCTTTGGACAGACATGAGGAAGCGGGAGGTGATTTGTAGAGAAGGCTAGCTGTTTTGGAGCTTTTTTTCTCTTCATTTACAATCATGTCCATCTCATATTTCCAGATTTCATCACCCAACATTCTTATTTCTATTGAATGCTGACATTTTAGAAAAAAGTATTTTGCATGAGCAATGACAACACCATTTTAGTACAATAACCTCCAAATAAAATAAAAAGTAATGAAAACTAATTCAGGTGTTAGGACGAAAACCTATTCTGTAGACACTATTTTCTCTTAAATTCACAGCAAAATGGACATTTGACTTCATCATGCCCCAGGGACAGTTGTAACAGTCTATTACGTCTGAAAAAATTTTTGCATGTATGCCAAATAGCTGAAAGAGAAAAAAACAGGCAGCTCTTTGATTCCATATTTGCTTTATAGTTTTCATTTCTCCAATAGAAAATTACTAACAATCACTACTTGTAAATGTGAAACGTTTTCAGAAAATTTGCTCTCATTCTTCAAGTTTTATTCAAATTTTTTGCAGAAAGTCATCTTTCAAAGTGATACATTTCACCCGCAAATTGACAAAGATAGTGGGGAGTTGAATATTCGAGAAAAATTTCCCGAATGGCGGAAGGATCTCAACCACCTGTGGCAAGTTTTGGACTACACTCAGTCAATATTTTACAATATTGAAACTAAAAATGCTGTCAATTTAGAATCCACCAATTTGTAAGTAATTATTGAATTATTTTCCTCATTCCTTTTACACCTGTTTGTGAGAGTTTCGAAAGATTGAGTGAAGGGACCCATGACGTTTCTTTTATTATTAGTCTGTTGTTTCAATAATGCAAGTTTAAGGTCATTTCAATGTAACTATCTTACCAAGTTGTAATGGATGATTAATCCATATCTAATGAGTTTCCTGTATCGGTAACAAAGGGCACACGTTGCCTTGTTGGAGCAGCCATTGTTGCCACTGGCATCTTACTTTTGGGCATTTTTTTCTTGATGTGCCTTTTTAGTCATTATGGCAGATCTTGATAGCATGTTTTTTAATACAGTTTTGTCAAAATGCTCATGGTACCTATGTAATGGCATGCGCATGCTTTTAATGTGTCGGTCAAAAAATTTCTACTGTCTTCATTGTTATAAACATGTCATATCTCCGTCAATTTATACCTTAACAAGCTCCCACGGTTGCATTTGAAAGGTGATTTGCTTCAAAAACTCCTATGAATCAGAATTCCAATCAGTGATTTTGTCTTTACAGTATAATTTAAGTCTCAGTTGCCTTTGGACACCCTGTTTAAAGTAATAGAGATTGAACAAGTTCTAATAATCTAAGGACCCTCTTATAATGGGTCGACGGTGTACCTAGATGATCATGTATTGATAGTCCCTGAGTTTCCATTTTTTTTTTTTCTCTCCCATATTCTTTTTTTAGAGAATGATATTTGCAGGATTTTCTTACTTAGAACTTTTAGAAAATTTTCTCAAATGGACAGCAAAAGTAGCATAAATTTTAAAACAATATTAATGAGCGGTCATTCTTTGAACTAGCAGAATGTTTCAGAAATTTAAAAGTTGTTTGTCCAGATCTATATTTTTCTAGTTTTACCATCAATATATTTCCGTAGAGTCATTTCGAGAAAGTCCAAGAGTCCTCAATTCAAATTTTTCTGCAAACTCTTTCTATGTATTCATTAAGTAACACCTTTTTTCATACATCACAGGTTTGAAACTGATCTAGAAACCTGGAAGTTAAGAATTTCTGCTTGTGTGGATGTTAGCAAAGCAAAAATATTCGACCCACCGCCTGTAGATGACAGCAATTGTTTAAAATTTAGTCCTTATAGTGAAGAGGTGCACGGTACAACCAAGAAAACAATCTCTGCAGGCTTGGTAAGACTAAGTTAGTATTCTGACTTCACTATTGCATTACATACTTCATGAACTTTGCTTCGCTCATACAGTAACACCAGCACCTTTCAAATGAATACTTTAATCAGATGAACAAAAACTACTCTCTGTATTTGGAGTGATTGTAATCGATCGGATAGCTCTGAACTGAATAACTCAAATTGAGGAGCTTTCCGAAAAAGGGTACACAGCAAAAAATTGTGTATGAGGAAAGTGCATCTTAAGTTTCCATCATTACTTTCCGGTCACTGATGACAACTTACATTGGAGCTTGGACTACCGATTTTGAACGTAAGTCACAGTCAGTGGCCGTAGAATAATGATGGAAACTTTAAATGCATTTTCTTCAAACGCGATTTTTTGCTATGTGCCCTTTTTCCAGAGAGCTCCTTAATTCTATCTCAGAGTATCTAATTTTCCGTCAAGTTCTATGTTTTAAATGAACAGTAAACAATGTAAAGCCTCAAACTTCCTGTGACTTTCCCCCAGAGTTCAAAACCTCACAAAATTTCTAGGCAAAAAGTTGCCAAGCTCTGCATGAAAAAGAAAAAGAGAGAGAGAGAGAAAAAAAAAGAACAGAAGAAAAAATAAGGCTGATTCTGCCAACAGATCCAACAGATACCCAGATTTTCTTTTCAAAAAGTGTGTTTTGCAGCAAACATAGAGTGCAGCAAATTCAATTCTTGTTTTTAGGAATATATTGCCATGAATCATCGGTCGTCTAAATTGTATAGATTTATGATGTGACTGGCATCTTCAACGATTTTACTTATTACTTTTCATTAGTGCTTTAAGGCTCTTTTGTCATCTACTGATCTTTATTTGCAGGAACCACGTGAATCAAGTATGAAACCTGCCCAAAAAATATCCTGGGTCCAACCTGGTTCTCTGCAGCCATTGTCAAGACCGAATTCTTGATATAGGCTGTCTCTTCGGTAGAGGAGTTCTCACACGGTTTGCCTTAAATTCATTCTATTCATCCAAATATCAAGCAAAAGGTGGTTAATGAAGCAGAAAGGATTTGTTGAACAAGTGCACACATCGAAGGATGAAATGAGTACTCAAAATTTCCTGGAATGTTGCTTTTGGTTCACCCTCTACAGGTTTAAATATTTTATGAATATCAATTCAGATAGAAAATCAGTTATGTCAATGAGTAATTGTAACAAGTAGATTCTTAAAAAGTAAATTATATGGTTTAAATTTTCCTAGCAATGTCATTTGCCTGAGTTCGATTCAGTCAAATTGATTTCAGTTGTTTGTCATCCAGATGAATTTTCAGGAAATCTAAATTTCCATTAAATGTCCGAGGAGATTAAATCAGCCTGCCTCCAGTAATTACAATCAGCACATTCTGTATTGGTGGGGAATACCTCACACAGGAAAGAAATTACTGTTGCATAAAGTGCTTTACAATTCGCACAATTCACTATTTTTGTTGATTTAACCTTTGCAGCAGTAAGAAAGAGAGAGAAGTCTCAGTGAGGAACCATTTTACTACGATACTTCTCTGGTCCAGGTTCACTGTGTTACCATTTACGGTATGTTTCACTCCTATTGATCCGCTAATTTGGATTGCACCAACAAGAGCAGGGTTATATTCAATAAACAGACATATCACTATCATTACATGTTTGAAGACCTAATCCTTTTTCTTGATATACTAATTTCTAATATTGGTTTCTTTCCCTCATTAACCTCCAAAATAGACGAAACTTCTGTTATATTGTAAATTCTCACATAGTAATTGGTTATTTTAATAGTCGATTTTGCGTATCATGTCAAGGTGTCCAGGGACAAAAATTATGAAGGCTGTGTAATTTTCTGCTCTGTTCCCAAAGGCATGCTTTTTGGGTACTGCGCTCACTATGGTCTTTTGTATGAAGTATATGAATTAACCTTTTCAAATCTTTTGGGTCAGATGCTCTGAAAAGTGGCTCCCATGCTTTTTCTGATCCATCTTTCCTAGAAAGATAGGATAAGTAATTAAACTCATAAATATTGGTGGCCGAAGTGCAAAACAACGCATCTCCATCACGATGTTTCAAAATTTCCCCTCCTATTTTGTTTTTTTTTTAAGAGAAACAAGCTAAGTTTATACCTTGAAATTTATAACAAATCTACTCTGCTTATAGAAAAGAAAAATCGAGGAACTTTCTAAGAAATTGAATTGACCAGTTTTCTAGAGAAAAAATCAAGTGACAGGAAGCTTACAATGTCGTAATAATTGATAATCTTTGTGTTTTTGTTTTCAATGTTGAATTGTCTTCAATGCCGTATGAATAGATAAAAGTTGTTGTCAGGAACAGCAGGAAAAATTTTTCAGGCATATACTATACATTTTACCCTTACTAAATGACCTTGGTTTCTCACCATCATGCGTCTATTTTTAGTGAAATTATATTTTGCCCGGCAAAGTTGTTTTTTACAGAAATCTTAATTTTCCAAATATTTGGTGGTTGATGAAGAAAAAACATAGTTATTTTTGAATTCAGTACTAAAAAAATACACCAAAATATCCATCAATACATCCAGCATTCTTTTTAATGTAGATCTTTGTAGTTTTTACTGAGGAATGCTGCCTTTTCAATAGTCTATCTAAAGTTTGAGAGAGCCCTTAATATGAATTCACCATAAGTATTGCATATTTATCGGTTATTTTTTTATAAAGTAATCAAAGAAGGGATCACATTTTCAGTCTATTCTTTTGCTATCTCTTGTACCTTGAACTTTTTTTCTTTTTTGTTAAACTTTTTCAAATTGTTGAGGACCAATTTCGTCCATTTGTAACAATATTTTGATTGATAAATATGTTGAATAAATATTTAATGTTTTTCATGGTTTCTGAAATCCGGTATCAACATCAATATTTAAAACACCTTTTCCTCTCCTTTCTTTAATGCGCCTCTGCTAGTCAAAGATGAAGATGGAGGGATTTGAAAATGTTGTTGAGCATTTGACTTCTTCAAAGAAGAAAAGAAATAAATAGAGTTATTTATCGAATGATTCTTGTAATCTATAAAATAATAAAAAATAAAAAACGTATGTTAACAATGTTATTTTTACTTATCACAGATTTTTAAAGCAATTTTTACACTACAGACAGAGAAGAGATTTTGCTGGTAAAGACACTGATTAAAGATTTTTACCAAACTAAACATTTCAAAAAGCTTAGAGTGAACTATGTAGCATTATCTTACGTAAACTAAAATATAAACCCATTCATGTAATTATTAATATTCAAAATAATGTAAAACATTGAAAGACATCATTCCCTTGAAGGAAAATCAATTTCTCATATAAAATGTAAAGAGATGAAGAGTTCTCTGCCATTTAGGGTGAGAACTGTAAGAGTCAGTTATTCCAAAAATCCCGGCTTCTTGTTTTCTAGCATAAATTCTCCGTTTTCTTAAAAGAAACAATCGAAAAGGGATCACATTTTCAAATTGAATGTTTCAAGACACCTACCTTTTTTTTGACATCTATAAGCAAAAAATTGAATTAATTTTTCAGGGTCTAATGGAGATGTTGCATGTGTGAGGAATTTGCGATTTGACCATTGATTGTTATATAAAAGTTCGCGAGAGACACGATGGTGCCACTGGTTTTCTCTGAGATCAACTTCCAAGCACAAAAAAAAGCTATCAAGTTGAGGCCAAAATGGAGGGGATATCCCACGCTATCCTGAGAGTCCACCTCTACATCAAGACAAACTCTCCATGCAAAGATAGGGAGCAAATACATAGCAGAGTTGCCATGTTTTCAGTTTTGGAGCCCCCAAAGAAAGCGGCAGCCCTGTCAATGTATTTGCTCCCTATCTTTGCATAGAGAGTTTGTCTTGATGTAGATGGGGACTCTAAAATAGCGTGGGATATCCCCTCCATTTTGGCCTCAACTTGAGAGCTTTTTTTGAGCTTGGGAGTTGATTTCAGAGAAAACCAGTGGCACCATCGTGTTTCTGGCAAACTTTTACACAAGAATCAATAGTCAAACGGCAACTTCCTCACACATGCAATATCTGCATTGGAGGTGAAAATGATAATTCTGAAAAAAGTTTCAATTTTGTTAAAACTAAATGGAAACATTAGGGATTACAGGCTTTGTAACATGCTTTTTTAAGATTTTTCATTAATTCAGGACATCGATACTTGAACAAATTTATGTTCAGCTGCTGATTACCTATTCAACAGTGCTTATAGATTGTTTGACAAAATCAGATCATATCCTTGAAGTCATGTATTTCTTAAAAATATCTACATGCAGGTTTCCAAAAAAACTGGAGAAGGAATGAAGTTTTTCCTAAGGAGTGATAGAATTTCATTTCCGCACATACGCTAGGTAATAGGATCACTTCTTTTTAGACCAATTTTCTGAAACCATTCACTGTCTAGATCATAAATCTGGTTGTTCCATTCAAACTGAAAAGGTATCTCACTATCCTCTTTGAATTTAAAAAGTTTACTGAACTCAATTGCTAGTTTCGATTGTATAAGTCCAACAGAGCCGTGTTTTTCTTCAGCCGGATGGTAGATGCGACCATTCTCTGCCATGTAGATTTTTGTAGGTTCAAACGGCACTTTGAGGGTATCACCTGTGTTATTGTAGCCAAACCATTCCACTTCCGTGTCTCTGATCACATGGGTAAAAACTATAGGTAAATCATCACATCTGATAAAATTTCGTTCCCGCCCGCAAGGTGATACGTATGGGAATTCCGGATAACGTCCTGTTTCGTTCCTTCGTAGACGACTGAAGAAAAACTGTAGAAATTTTTTCTCTGGAACAAAAAATCAGTTGAACTAAGTAATCGTAAGTACTGGAGGCGTCTCATTACTTAATAAAGAGTTTCATAGAAATAAAATAAGTTTCCATCAAAAAGTAAATTTCGCTTTTTAAGCTTTATTCAACCCATGGTAAATGTGAGATCCTGAATGGTTGATGCAGCTCTAACCTTTGAATACTAAATTAGTTGAATGCCCCTCTACTGGTGAGCCTGATGGGTGTTCTTTCAAGTTTCACCTAAAGTCGACTTAAAAATTCTGCTCACATATCACAAGCTGGGCTTAATGGATAGAGTTTGATCTGCCAACAGGGTCAACAAAGACCCAAACTAGTAGAGATATCTTAGTGGGACCTAATCTAATCCATGTAATCCATCGAATCTGGCTGAGCTGAAAGTTCCCCCTTCAGTCTCTTGCTGAAACTCACTGAAGTAAAGTATATAACTCTGCTTCTAATTTCTGGTTCTTTCCGTGCAGATTTTAAAAGAGGAAGTTTGTATTAAAATTAAAGGAATCAAAAATGCATTATATTTCTTCCCAAGCTGTTGTGTGCTTTACTGAAAGGCTCTGCCTTCATCTTTTCAACTTGGAAATTTAAGCCGAAAATAAGTAAAATTTAGAAAGGAAAAGATTACATTGTTTCGATTTCATTTTCGGGAAACCTTACCTTTGAAACATGAGGTAAAATTTTTCATTTTGGCGTCATCCAGGAACAACTGAAAAATATTAAAAACAAGCATGTTAGAGAAAGTGAGAATTTGTGAGCAGACCATAGTCCATACCACAAAAAGTGCCAGATGAGGAGCTGAGTCAGTGATTGGCTCAGGATAGCCATTTGGTAAGAAAAGGCCCTAAATTTGAAACCAAATCCCTGAATCAAAAGAGAAAAAAAAATCCCTGATATATGATTCTTAAATTAAAGTACATATTCATATTTGTCTCAAATTTATAGATTTTAATTCTGTACAGCACTACCTCAAGTTTGCATCATCAAATTGAGTTAACAATACACCATGTTGAAGAGGAATCCCAGATTTGTATACTTCATCTTACCATTAATGTACGATATCCAACTCATTTTGAGTTTATTGAAACTCTTCCCAAAAAATCGGATTCACAAGAGGTAGATACATGTTTCAAATGTGTTTGATCAAAAGGCGTAAAATAACTGGAAAAAAGGCAAAAGCACTCGTTGCAGAAAAATATTAAAATGTGAGAATATTGATATCCATGAATGAAATTTTTTCCATTGTGGTAACGCCTTCCTTTTTTATTCACTTAAAAATTTGATTGAATACTCTTAAGACATGTAAGCATTTACTTCTTGAATATCTAAAAATGACTTATTATTGCACTCTACCATGATAAACTAGGTAATCATTAGTAATGTGTCGGAATGGTAGCAATGCTTGCTACTTTCATCCCAAAATTCATCAAAGAGATCCAAGAGACAATATACTTCATGGATGAGAGAGAGTAATTTTTAAAGAAAAATCTTGCATTACCCTACAGATGTGCTGTTCCATTAAATGTCAACTTCTGTGAAATTGTGACATTCTCTGAAACTTTCGGATCCTCCAGTGAACCACTTGACATGATGCTAATTTAAGAAATACGATACATTTTTTTTCATCAAAATTTCACGTAGAACATGATTTAAGTCTACAACAAAAGTTATTGGAAGTAACCCCCGACTATATATTAAGGGTTTTTTATGAAAAAAATCCATATTTCCCGCTCCAAAACAGAAGAAGAAGAAAAAATTATAAAAAGTTCATGCCAAATAAGTTTACCCAGTTTTAGACTGCGACAGAAGATCGTCTGACGTCATTTTGGCAAGAAAAGCAAATGCAAGAAGGGAGATGGTGGACCTTCTGTTGCATTCTAAAATAGTGCAGATGCTCAGTAAGCGCATACTCAAATCTCATTGGGTTCGATCTGTTTAGCATTAATAATTACATTCTCTGCAGTATGAAAATACTGCAGCCTCAATCTCCGTTCTTTGGCTCAGCTATTGCACTTTGTTTACACCTAGGACAACTCAGGCCGGGGATGGAACACTGCTCAATTAAGAAGCCTGCCAAAACCGTTGTAGTGTACGATTTGATCCACATAGACTGTTGCTTTTGTAATAAGCAGCAAATTCAAATATTTCGGAACCAGTATCAACCAAACACTTTAGTTGGCAAAGAGTAATTTTTGTTGTGCAAATCATATTCTACGTGGAATTCGGAAGAAGTAACATATATCAGAGTGCTTAAAGTCGTACCTCATCTAGTGGTCTATTGGACGTGCCATGACCACCTAGAAAAATTTGGCAGTGAACATCCATTGAAATCTAATTAAAATTCAACAATATTAAACTCCAGTCTTCTCCTTCAATACATTACCATCCCTTGATGATCGATGAAATAAAAATATTCGCGGACTTTGGGTTCTGGGGATTGTCCTTGCTGATAAGAGACACACCTTTGACCAATACATGTTCTAAAATGTTTTTGGACTTGTAAGAAAGGACTGAAAATATGATCAACACGGAACACCATTAAAATAAAATTAATTACGGACGCGAGAGAAAATGGGAAAAAAACGTAATTGAACTTGGATAGCTTGCAGCTGACGGCTGAATAGTCAGTGATAAGTGATTTTAACCTCAAAACAACTCATGGAACTATTTTGATTTTGCATAATCCCCATGGTTGACAAGGGCGTTTGAGTTTAGCAGAGATTCCTTCTTGGCTTAGAAGGTTAGGGATGACAAAAATCCTGCCGCAGATCATCAGTAAGCAAGAGCGTTTCACCGATGCGTCTCTACTCTCAGCTCTAGTGGAGAAAGAAAGAACTTTATTTGCCTTATGTACTGGCAAATTCGGCATCTCTATACCTGTTGGCGTGGCTAAGCGGCAAGGCACTCGCCCCTTGACCCGAGCGTTCGCGGTTCGCGCCCTCGCGGTGAAAATATTTTAACGCCTTGATCATATTTATAAATGCCGCGTAGGGCATCGCAGGGTTATTTTTTCCAAAAAATCTGAGTGAGGATTGCATTTTGATTGAAACGTAATCGAAAAGGGCTCCTCTTGCTTCAGAGAAACTTCTGAACCCAAGGTCCAGGGCAGAGTTAAGAAATTTCATGAAAGATTACAAAAAGAAATTTCA